CTTGAATACAGGCTCGTCTTTCATCTCCCAACATGAAGGGATGTCTGAATCCCCTGTGGAGACCTTACAGATAGCCCTAGGTCACTGCCTCATTATGACGGAATGCCTCACATCAAGTTGACACCTCGGGAGGCACGCAGAGTTCACTGCTTCAAAAGGTGACGATGCCTGACTCCTCTTGAATATTGATAGGAATCCCAAAATCCCTGTGGCTACTGGAAAGTGTCCTTGGGAGCCCTTCCTCCCCTCGAGAAGAGTCCCTTGTGCCCTGCCAAGCCTCGAAGAGATTCCTGAGTTGTCCCACATTACTAGAAAGGAGTCCTGACGTCACTGAATAAACATGTGATTTGAAGGGCCATCCTCCCCCTCACTCGAGAACATACCGCATATCCCCGCCGCAACTCGAGAAAAACCATGAGACTTCCCCAGAGATGCGAGATGAGGCTCGATTCCCCTGCAGTGCATGCAGAGCAATTCCGTGATCCCCATCAAACAAGTCTGGAGATTCGAATTCTTTAATGGATTTCGAGAGAGTCCCCAAGAACACTGTCACAAGTCTAGATGGACCCTGAGGTCACCACAGCAACGCAAAGTAGATCCATGTGCCACAAATCAACTCGAGGTGAGGCCCGATTCCACTGCATTGACTCCAGAGCCAACCGCCATTCCCCATTCAACACGACCAGTGGCTTGACTTCCTTCAGGCACCTCCAGAGATGCCCCGAGAACACTGTAACAAGACTAGAGGAACATCAACTTCAGCACAGCAACTCGAGGAATGCTCCGTGTACCCCAAATCAACTAGAGTTGAGAGCTGATTCCGTGGCTTTGGGTAAAGACGTATGCCAACTTTCCAGAAGCACCTCAAGGGGAGGCTTCTTTAAGCAAAAGCTATGTGGTAGGGACGCCGAGTTTGCTGCCCCATGTGGGATATACAGCGAGAAGCCCTAACTTGAAAGGAGGCCGGGTTTCCTTGAAGTGGCTTGAATACAGCTCGTCTTTCATCTCCCAACATGAAGGGATGTCTGAATCCCCTGGGGAGACCTTAGAGAAAGCCCTAGGTACCTGCCTCATTATGACGGAATGCCTCACATTCCATTGACACCTCGAGAGGCACGCGGAGTTCACTGCTTCAAAAGGTAACATAGCCTGACTCATCGTGAATATTGGTAGAAATCCCAAAATCTCTGTGGCTCCTGGAAAAGGTCCTTGGGTACACTGGCTCACCTCGAGAAGCGTCCCTCGTGCCCTGCCAGTCCTCGAAGAGATTACTGAGGTGTCCCTCATTACTAGACAGGAGTCCTGACGTCACTGAATAAACACGAGTTTTGAAGGGCAATCCCCGCCGTAACTCGAGAACATACCGCAGGTCCCCGCCTCAAATCGAAAAAAAACATGAGACTTCCCCCTAGATGTGAGATGAGGTCCGATTCCCCTGCAGTGCACGCAGATCAATTCCGTGATCCCCACCAATCAAGTCCAGAGCTTCGACTTGCTTAATGGATCTCGAGAGAGTGCCCAAGAACACTGTCACAAGTCTAGACGGACCCTGAGGTCACCCCTGCAACGCAAAGCAGCTCCATGTGCCACAAATCAACTGGAGATGAGGCCCGATTCCCCTGCCTTGACCCCAGAGCCTTCCCCCATTCCTCATTAAACAAGACCAGTGGCTTGACTTCCTTTAGGCAACTCCAGAGATGCCCCGAGAACACTGTCCCAAGTCTAGAGGATCACCATCTTCAGCACAGCAACTTGAGGAATGCTCCATGTACCCCAAATCGACTCGAGATGAGAGCTGATTCCCTGGTTTAGGCTCAAGACGTATGCCAACTTTCCAGAAGCACCTCAAGGGGAGGCTTCTTTAAGCAATAGGTATGTGGTAGGGACCCCGAGTTTGCTGCCACAAGTGGGATATACAGCGAGAAGCCCTAACTTGAAAGGAGGCCGGGTTTCCTTGCATTGGCTTGAATACAGGCTCGTCTTTCATCTCCCAACATGAAGGGATGTCTGAATCCCCTGCGGAGACCTTACAGATAGCCCTAGGTCCCTGCCTCCTTATGACGGAATGCCTCACATCAAGTTGACACCTCGGGAGCCACGCAGAGTTCACTGCTTCAAAGGTGACGATGCCTGACTCCTCTTGAATATTGATAGGAATCCAAAAATCCCTGTGGCTACTGGAAAGGGTACTTGGGTGGCCTGACTTACCTCAAAAAGTGTCCCTTGTGGCCTGCCATCCTCGAAGCGATTCCTGAGGTGTCCCTCGTTACTAGATAGGAGTCCTGACGTCACTGAATAAACACGTGTTTTGAAGGGCCATCCCCCCATAACTCGATAACGTACCACAGGTCCCCGCCGCAACTCGAGAAAAATCATGAGACTTCCCCCTCGATGCGAGACGAGGCCCGATTCACCTGCAGGGCATGCAGAGCAATTCCGTGATACCCATCAAACAAGTCAGAGGCTTCGACTTGCTTAATGGATCTCGAGACAGTCCCCAAGAACACTGTCACAAGTCTAGACGCAACCTGAGGTCACCCCTGCAACGCAAAGCAGCTCCATGTGCCCCAAATCAACTCGAGATGAGGCCCGATTCCCCTGCGTTGACTCCAGAGCCATCCGCCGTTCCCCATTAAACATGACCAGTGGCTTGACTTCCTTCAGGCAACTCCAGAGATGCCCCGAGAACACTGTCCCAAGTCTAGAGGAACACCAACTTCAGCACAGCAACTCGAGGAATGCTCCATGTACCCCAAATCGTCTCGAGATGAGAGCTGATTCCCTGGCTTAGGCTCAAGACGTATGCCAACTTTCCAGAAGCACCTCAAGGGGAGGCTTCTTTAAGCAATAAGTATGTGGTAGGGACCCCGAGTTTGCTGCCTCAAGTGGATTATACAGCGAGAAGCCCTAACTTAAAGGAGGCGGCGTTTCCTTGCAGTGGCTTGAATACTGCTCGTCTTGCATCTCCCAACATGAAGGGATGTCTGAATCCCCTGTGGAGACCTTAGAGTAAGCCCTAGGTCCCTGCCTCATTATGACGGAATGCCTCAGATCCAGTTGACACCTCGAGAGGCACGCGGAGTTCACTGCTTCAAAAGGTAACGTAGCCTGACTCATCGTGAATATTGGTAGAAATCCCAAAATCTCTGTGGCTACTGGAAAGGGTCCTTGGGTGCAGTTCCTCCCTTCGAGAAGAGTCCCTTGTGCCCTGCCAACCCTCGAAGAGATTCCTGAGGTGTCCCATGTTACTAGACAGGAGTCCTGACGTCACTGAATAAATACGAGGTTTGAAGGGCAATCCCCACCGTAACTCGAGAACATATTGCAGGTCCCCGCTGCAAATCGAGGAAAACCATGAGACTTCCCCCTAGATGTGAGATGAGGCCCGATTCCCCTGCAGTGCACGCAGAGCAATTCCGTGATCCCCATCAAACAAGTCAGGAGCTTCGACTTGCTTAATGGATCTCGAGACAGTCCCCAAGAACACTGTCACAAGTCTAGACGCAACCTGAGGTCACCCCTGCAACGCAAAGCAGCTCCATGTGCCCCAAATCAACTCGAGATGAGGCCCGATTCCCCTGCGTTGACTCCAGAGCCATCCGCCGTTCCCCATTAAACATGACCAGTGGCTTGACTTCCTTCAGGCAACTCCAGAGATGCCCCGAGAACACTGTCCCAAGTCTAGAGGAACACCAACTTCAGCACAGCAACTCGAGGAATGCTCCATGTACCCCAAATCGTCTCGAGATGAGAGCTGATTCCCTGGCTTAGGCTCAAGACGTATGCCAACTTTCCAGAAGCACCTCAAGGGGAGGCTTCTTTAAGCAATAAGTATGTGGTAGGGACCCCGAGTTTGCTGCCTCAAGTCGATTATACAGCGAGAAGCCCTAACTTAAAGGAGGCGGCGTTTCCTTGCAGTGGCTTGAATACTGCTCGTCTTGCATCTCCCAACATGAAGGGATGTCTGAATCCCCTGTGGAGACCTTAGAGTAAGCCCTAGGTCCCTGCCTCATTATGACGGAATGCCTCAGATCCAGTTGACACCTCGAGAGGCACGCGGAGTTCACTGCTTCAAAAGGTAACGTAGCCTGACTCATCGTGAATATTGGTAGAAATCCCAAAATCTCTGTGGCTACTGGAAAGGGTCCTTGGGTGGCCTGACTCACCTCGAAAAGTGTCCTGTGGCCTGCCAAGGTTCGAAGAGATTCCTGAGGTGTCCCTCGTTACTAGATAGGAGTCCTTACGTCACTGAATAAACACGTGTTTTGAAGGGCCATCCCCCCGTAACTCGATAACCTACTACAGGTCCCCGCCGCAACTCGAGAAAAACCATGAGACTTCCCCCTAGTTGTGAGATGAGGCCCGATTCCCCTGCAGGGCATGCAGAGCAATTCCGTGATCCCCATCAAACAAGTCAGAAGCTTCGACTTGCTTAACGGATCTCGAGACAGTCCCCAAGAACACTGTCACAAGTCTAGACGGACCCTGAGGTTACCACAGCAACGCAAAGTAGCTCCATGTGCCATAAATCAACTCGAGGTGAGGCCTGATTCCCCTGCGTTGACTCCAGAGCCATCCGCCGTTCCCCATTAAACACGACCAGTGGCTTGACTTCCTTCAGGCAACTCCAGAGATGCCCCGAGAACACTGTCCCAAGTCTAGAGGAACACCAACTTCAGCACAGCAACTCGAGGAATTCTCCATGTACCCCAAATCGTCTCGAGATGAGAGCTGATTCCCTGGCTTAGGCTCAAGACGTATGCCAACTTTCCAGAAGCACCTCAAGGGGAGGCTTCTTTAAGCAATAAGTATGTGGTAGGGACCCCGAGTTTGCTGCCTCAAGTGGGATATACAGGGAGAAGCCCTAACTTGAAAGGAGGCCGGGTTTCCTTGAAGTGGCTTGAATACAGCTCGTCTGGCATCTCCCAACAGGAAGGGATGTCTGAATCCCCTGTGGAGACCTTAGAGTAAGCCCTATGTCCCTTCCTCATTATGACGGAATGCCTCACATCCCGTTTACACCTCGAGAGGCACGCGGAGTTCACTGCTTCAAAAGGTAACGTAGCCTGACTCATCGTGAATATTGGTAGAAATCCCAAAATACCTGTAGCTACTGGAAAGGGTCCTTGCGTGCACTGCATCACCTCGAGAAGTGTCCCTCGTGCCCTGCCAGTACTCAAAGAGATTACTGAGGTATCCCTCGTTATTAGACAGGAGTCCTGACGTCACTGAATAAACACGATTTTTGAAGGGCAATCCCCACCGTAACTCGAGAACATACTGTAGGTCCTCGCTGCAAATCGAGGAAAACCATGAGACTTCCCCCTAGATGTGAGATGAGGCCCGATTCCCCTGCAGTGTACGCAGAGCAATTCCGTGATCCCCATCAAACACGTCAGGAGCTTCGACTTGCTTAATGGATCTCGAGACAGTCCCCAAGAACACTGTCACAAGTCTAGACGCACCCTGAGTTCACCCCTGCAACGCAAAGCAGCTCCATGTGCCCCAAATCAACTCGAGATGAGGCCCGATTCCCCAGCGTTGACTCCAGAGCCATCCGCCGTTCCCCATTAAACACGACCAGTGGCTTGACTTCCTTCAGGCAACTCCAGAGATGCCCCGAGAACACTGTCCCAAGTCTAGAGGAACACCAACTTCAGCACAGCAACTCGAGGAATGCTCCATGTACCCCAAATCGTCTCGAGATGAGAGCTGATTCCCTGGCTTAGGATCAAGACGTATGCCACCTTTCCAGAAGCCCCTCAATGGGAGGCTTCTTTAAGCAATAGGTATGTGGTAGGGACCCCGAGTTTGCTGCCTCAAGTGGGATATACAGCGAGAATCCCTAACTTGAAAGCAGGCCGGGTTTCCTTGCAGTCGCTTGAATACAGGCTCGTCTTTCATCTCCCAACATGAAGGGATGTCTGAATCCCCTGTGGAGACCTTACAGATAGCCCTAGGTCACTGCCTCATTATGACGGAATGCCTCACATCAAGTTGACACCTCGGGAGGCACGCAGAGTTCACTGCTTCAAAAGGTGACGATGCCTGACTTCTCTTGAATATTGATAGGAATCCCAAAATCCCTGTGGCTACTGGAAAGTGTCCTTGGGAGCCCTTCCTCCCCTCGAGAAGAGTCCCTTGTGCCCTGCCAAGCCTCGAAGAGATTCCTGAGTTGTCCCACGTTACTAGAAAGGAGTCCTGACGTCACTGAATAAACATGTGATTTGAAGGCCATCCCCCCCCCACTCGAGAACATACCGCATATCCCCGCCGCAACTCGAGAAAAACCATGAGACTTCCCCAGAGATGCGAGATGAGGCTCGATTCCCCTGCAGTGCATGCAGAGCAATTCCATGAACCCCATCAAACAAGTCTGGAGATTCGAATTCCTTAATGGATTTCGAGAGAGTCCCCAAGAACACTGTCACAAGTCTAGATGGACCCTGAGGTTACCAGAGCAACGCAAAGTAGCTCCATGTGCCACAAATCAACTCGAGGTGAGGCCCGATTCCACTGCATTGACCCCAGAGCCTTCCCCTGTTCCCCATTAAACACGACCAGTGGCTTGACTTCCTTCAGGCAACTCCAGAGATGCCCCGAGAACACTGTCCCAAGTCTAGAGGAACATCAACTTCAGCACAGCAACTCGAGGAATGCTCCATGTACCCCAAATCGTCTCGAGATGAGAACTGATTCCCTGGCTTAGGCTCAAGACGTATGCCAACTTTCCAGATGCACCTCAAGGGGAGGCTTCTTTAAGCAATAGATATGTGGTACGGGTCCCGAGTTTGCTGCCTCAACTGGGATATACAGCGAGAAGCCCTAACTTCAAAGGAGGCCGGGTTTCCTTGCAGTGGCTTGAATACAGGCTCGTCTTTCATCTCCCAACATGAAGGGATGTCTGAATCCCCTGTGGAGAACTTACAGATAGCCCTAGGTCCCTGCCTCATTATGACGGAATGCCTCACATCAAGTTGACACCTCGGGAGGCACGCAGAGTTCACTGCTTCAAAAGGTGATGATGCCTGTCTCCTCTTGAATATTGATAGGAATCCAAAAATCCCTGTGGCTATTGGAAAGGGTCCTTGAGAGCCCTTCCTCACCTCGAGAAGCGTCCCTTGTGCCCTGCCAAGCCTCGAAGAGATTCCTGAGTGGTCCCACGTTTCTAGAAAGGAGTCCTGACGTCACTGAATAAACATGTGATTTGAAGGGCCATCCCCGCCCTAACTCGAGAACATACCGCATATCCCCGCTGCAGCTCAAGAAAAACCATGAGACTTCCCCATAGATGCGAGATGAGGCTCCATTCCCCTGCAGTGCATGCAGAGCAATTCCGTGATCCCCATCAAACAAGTCTGGAGATTCGAATTCTTTAATGGATTTCGAGAGAGTCCCCAAGAACACTGTCACAAGTCTAGATGGACCCTGAGGTCACCACAGCAACGCAAAGTAGATCCATGTGCCACAAATCAACTCGAGGTGAGGCCCGATTCCACTGCATTGACTCCAGAGCCTACCGCCATTCCCCATTCAACACGACCAGTGGCTTGACTTCCTTCAGGCACCTCCAGAGATGCCCCGAGAACACTGTAACAAGACTAGAGGAACATCAACTTCAGCACAGCAACTCGAGGAATGCTCCGTGTACCCCAAATCAACTAGAGTTGAGAGCTGATTCCGTGGCTTTGGGTAAAGACGTATGCCAACTTTCTTGAAGCACATCAAGGGGAGGCTTCTTTAAGCAATAAGTATGTTGTAGGGACCCCGAGTTTGCTGCCTCACGTGGGATATACAGCGAGAAGCCCTAACTTGAAAGGAGGCCGGGTTTCCTTGCAGTGGCTTGAATACAGCAAGTCTTGCATCTCCCCACATGAAGGGATGTCTCAATCCCCTGTGCAGACCTTAGAGAAAGGCCTAGGTCCCTGCCTCATTATGACGGAATGCCTCACATCACGTTGACACCTCGAGAGGCACGCGGAGTTCACTGCTTCAAAAGGTAACGTAGCCTGACTCATCGTGAATATTGGTAGAAATCCCAAAATCTCTGTGGCTACTGGAAAGGGTCCTTGGGTGCACTGCGTCACCTCGAGAAGTGTCCCTCGTGCCCTGCCAGTATTCAAAGAGATTACTGAGATGTCCGTCGTTACTAGACAGGAGTCGTGACGTCACTGAATAAATACGAGTTTTGAAGGGCAATCCCCACCGTAACTCGAGAACATACTGCAGGTCCCCGCTGCAAATCGAGGAAAACCATGAGACTTCCCCCTAGATGTGAGATGAGGCCCGATTCCCCTGCAGTGCACGCAGAGCAATTCCGTGATCCCCATCAAAGAAGTCAGGAGCTTCGACTTGCTTAATGGATCTCGAGACAGTCCCCAAGAACACTGTCTCAAGTCTAGACGGACCTTGAGGTCAACCCTGCAACGCAAAGCAGCTCCATGTGCCCCAAATCAACGCGAGATGAGGCCCGATTCCCCTGCGTTGACTCCAGAGCCATCCGCCATTCCGCATTAAACACGACCAGTGGCTTGACTTCCTTCAGGCAACTCCAGAGATGCCCCGAGAACACTGTCCCAAGTCTAGAGGAACACCAACTTCAGCACAGGAACTCGAGGAATGCTCCGAGTACCCCAAATCGTCTCGAGATGAGAGCTGATTCCCTGGCATAGGCTCAAGACGTATGCCAACTTTCCAGAAGCACGTCAAGGGGAGGATTCTTTAAGCAATAGGTATGTGGTAGGGACCCCGAGTTTGCTGCCTCAAGTGGAATATACAGCTAGAAGCCCTAACTAGAAAGGAGGCGGGGTTTCTTTGCAGTGGCTTGAATACAGGCTCGTCTTTCATCTCACAACATGAAGGGATGTCTGAATCCCCTGTGGAGACCTTAGAGAAAGCCCTAGGTACCTGCCTCCTTTTGACGGAATGCCTCATATCCCATTGACACTTCGACAGGCACGCGGAGTTCACTGCTTCAAAAGGTGACGATGCCTGACTCCTCTTGAATATTGATAGGAATCCCAAAATCCCTGTGGCTAATGGAAAGGGTCTTTGGGTGCCCTGACTCACCTCGATAAGTGTCCCTTGTGGCCTGCCAAGCCTCGAACAGATTCCTGAGGTGTCCCTCGTTAATAGACTGGAGTCCTGACGTCACTGAATAAACACGTGTTTTGAAGGGCCTTCCCCGCCGTAACTCGAGAACATACCCCAGATCCCCGCCGCAACTCGAGAAAAACCATGAGACTTCTCCCTAGATGTGAGGTATGGCCCGATTCCCCTGCAGTGCATGCAGAGCAATTCCATGATCGCCATCAAACATGTCAGGAGCTTCGACTTGCTTAACAGATCTCGAGAGAGTCACCAAGAACACTGTCACAAGTGTAGAGGTACCCTGAGGTCACCCCAGGAACGCAAAGCAGCTCCATGTGCCCAAAATCAATTCGAGATGAGGCCTGATACCCCTGCATTGACTCCAGAGCCAACCCCCATTCCCCATTAAACACGACCAGTGGCTTGACTTCCTTCAGGAAACTTCAGAGATGCCCTGGGATCACTGTCCCAAGTCTATAGGAAGACCAGCTTCAGCACAGCAACTCGAGGAATGCTCCGTGTACCCCAAATCGTCTCGAGATGAGAGCTGATTTCCTGGCTTAGGCTCAAGATGTATGCCAACTTTCCAGAAGCACCTCAAGGGGAGGCTTCTCTCAGCAATAGGTATGTGGGAGGGACCCCGAGTTTGCTGCCTCAAGTGGAATATACAGCGAGAAGCCCTAACTTGAAATGAGGCCGGGTTTCCTTGCATTGAGTTGAATACAGGCTCGTCTTTCATCTCACAACATGAAGGGATGTCTGAATCCCCTGTGGAGTCCTTAGAGAAAGCCCGAGGTCCCTGCCTCATTTTGACCTAAAGCCTCACATCCCGTTGACACTTCCACAGGCACGCGGAGTTCACTGCTTCAAAAGGTGACGATGCCTGACTCCTCTTGAATATTGATATTAATCCCAAAATCACTGTGGCTACTTGAAGGGGTCCTTGGGTGCCCTGCCTCTCCCCGAGAGGCGTCTCTTGTGCCGTGCCAAACCTCGAAGAGATTCCTGAGGTGTCCCTCTTTACTAGACAGGAGTCCTGACGTCACTGAATAAACACGTGTTTTGAAGGGCCATCCCCGCCCTAACTCGAGAACATACCCCAGGTCCCCGCCGCAACTCGAGAAAAACCATGAGACTTCCCCCTAGATGCGAGATGAGGCCCGATTCTCCTGCAGTGCATGCAGAGCAATTCCGGGATCCCCATCAAACAAGTCAGAAGCTCTGACTTGCTTAATGGATCTCGACACAGTCCCGAAGAACACTGTCACAAGTCTAGACGAACCCTGAGGTCAACCCAGCAACGCAAAGCAGCCCCATGTGCCTCAAGTCAACTCGAGATGAAGCCCGATTCCCCTGCATGGACTCCAGAGCCATCCCCCGTTCCCCATTAAATACGTCCAGTGGCTTGACTTCCTTCAGGAAACTCCAGAGATGCCCCGAGAACACTGTCCCAAGTCTAGAGGAACACTAACTTCATCACAGCAACTCGAGGAATGCTCCGTGTACCCGAAATCGTCTCGAGATGAGAGCTGATTCCCTGGCTTAAGCTCAAGACGTATGCCAACTTTACAGAAGCACCTCAAGGGGAGGCTTCTCTCAGGATTAGGTATGTCAGAGGGACCCCGAGTTTGCTGCCTCAAGTGGAATATACAGCTAGAAGCCCTAACTAGAAAGGAGAAGGGCTTTCCTTGCAGTGGCTTGAATACAGGCTCGTCTTTCATCTCACAACATGAAGGGATGTCTGAATCCCCTGTGGAGACCTTAGAGAAAGCCCTAGGTACCTGCCTCCTTTTGACGGAATGCCTCACATCCCGTTGACACCTCGAGAGGCACGCAGAGTTGACTGCTTCAAAAGGTGACGATGCCTGACTCCTCTTGAATATTGATAGGAATCCCAAAATCCCTGTGGCTACTGGAAAGGGTCCTTGGGTGCCCTGCCTCACCTCGAGAAGTGTTCCTTGTTGCCTGCCAAGCCTCGAAGAGATTCCTGAGTTGTCCCTCGTTACTAGACAGGAGTCCCGACCTCACTGAATAAACAGGTGTTTTGAAGGGCCATCCCCGCCTTAAATCGATAACATAGCAAAGGTCCCCGCTGCAACTCGAGAAAAACCATGAGACTTCCCCCTAGATGACAGATGTGGCCCGATTCCCCTGCAGTGCATGCAGAGCAATTCCGTGATCCCCATCAAACAAGTCAGGAGGTTCAAAATGCTTAATGGATCTTGAGACAGTCCCGAAGAACACTGTCACAAGTCTAGACAATCCCTGATGTCAACCCAGCAATGCAAAGCAGCTCCATGTACCCCAAATCGTCTCGAGATGAGAGCTGATTCCCTCGATTAGGCTCAAGTCGTATTTCAACTTTCTAGAAGCACCCCAGGAGGAGGCTTGTCTCAGCAAAAGGTATGTGGGAGGGACCCCGAGTTTGCTGCCCCAAGTGGGATATACAGCGAGAAGCCCTAATTTGAAAGGAGGCCGGGTTTCCTTGCATTGAGTTGAATACAGGCTCGTCTTTCATCTCACAACATGAAGGGATGTCTGAATCCCCTGTGGAGTCCTTAGAGAAAGCCCGAGGTCCCTGCCTCATTTTGACCTAAAGCCTCACATCCCGTTGACACTTCCACAGGCACGCGGAGTTCACTGCTTCAAAAGGTGACGATGCCTGACTCCTCTTGAATATTGATATTAATCCCAAAATCACTGTGGCTACTTGAAGGGGTCCTTGGGTGCCCTGCCTCTCCCCGAGAGGCGTCTCTTGTGCCGTGCCAAACCTCGAAGAGATCCCTGAGGTGTCCCTCTTTACTAGACAGGAGTCCTGACGTCACTGAATAAACACGTGTTTTGAAGGGCCATCCCCGCCCTAACTCGAGAACATACCCCAGGTCCCCACCGCAACTCGAGAAAAACCATGAGACTTCCCCCTAGATGCGAGATGAGGCCCGATTCTCCTGCAGTGCATGCAGAGCAATTCCGGGATCCCCATCAAACAAGTCAGAAGCTCTGACTTGCTTAATGGATCTCGACACAGTCCCGAAGAACACTGTCACAAGTCTAGACGAACCCTGAGGTCAACCCAGCATCGCAAAGCAGCCCCATGTGCCTCAAGTCAACTCGAGATGAAGCCCGATTCCCCTACATGGACTCCAGAGCCATCCCCCATTCCCCATTAAACACGTCCAGTGTCTTGACTTCCTTCAGGAAACTCCAGAGATGCCCCGAGAACACTGTCCCAAGTCTAGAGGAACACTAACTTCATCACAGCAACTCGAGGAATGCTCCGTGTACCCGAAATCGTCTCGAGATGAGAGCTGATTCCCTGGCTTAAGCACAAGACGTATGCCAACTTTACAGAAGCACCTCAAGGGGAGGCTTCTCTCAGGATTAGGTATGTCAGAGGGACCCCGAGTTTGCTGCCTCAAGTGGAATATACAGCTAGAAGCCCTAACTAGAAAGGAGAAGGGCTTTCCTTGCAGTGGCTTGAATACAGGCTGGTCTTTCATCTCACAACATGAAGGGATGTCTGAATCCCCTGTGGAGACCTTAGAGAAAGCCCTAGGTCCCTGCCTCATTTGACGGAATGCCTCACATCCCGTTGACACCTCGAGAGGCACGCAGAGTTCACTGCTTCAAAAGGTGACGATGCCTGACTACTCTTGAATATTGATAGGAATCCCAAAATCCATGTGGCTACTGGAAAGGGTCCTTGGGTGGCCTGACTCACCTCGAAAAGTGTCCCTTGTGGCCTGCCAAGCCTCAAAGAGATTCCTGAAGTGTCCCTCGTTACTAGATAGGAGTCCTTACGTCACTGAATAAACAGGTGTTTTGAAGGGCCATCCGCCTGTAACTCGATAACATACCACAGGTCCCCGCCGCAACTCGAGAAAAACCATGAGACTTCCCCCTAGATGTGAGATGAGGCCCGATTCCCCTGCAGGGCATGCAGAGCAATTTCGTGATCCCCATCAAACAAGTCAGAAGCTTCGACTTGCTTAATGGATCTCGAGAGAGTCCCCAAGAACACTGTCACAAGTATAGACGGACCCTGAGGTTACTACAGCAACGCAAACTAGCTCCATGTGCCACAAATCAACTCGAGGTGAGGCCTGATTCCACTGCATTGACTCCAGAGCCATCCGCCATTCCCCATTCAAAACGACCAGTGGCTTGACTTCCTTCAGGCACCTCCAGAGATGCCCCGAGAACACTGTCCCAAGTCTAGAGGAACACTAACTTCAGCACAGCAACTCGAGGAATGCTCCATGTACCCCAAATCGTCTCGAGATGAGAGCTGATTCCCTAGCTTAGGCTCAAGACGTATGCCAACTTTCCAGAAGCACCTCAAGGGGAGGCCTCTTTAAGCAATAAGTATGTGGTAGGGACCCCGAGTTTGCTGCCTCAAGTGGATTATACAGCGAGAAGCCCTAACTTAAAGGAGGCGGCGTTTCCTTGCAGTGGCTTGAATACTGCTCGTCTTGCATCTCCCAACATGAAGGGATGTCTGAATCCCCTGTGGAGACCTTAGAGTAAGCCCTAGGTCCCTGCCTCATTATTACGGAATGCCTCAGATCCCGTTGACACCTCGAGAGGCACGCGGAGTTCACTGCTTCAAAGGGAACGTAGCCTGACTCATCGTGAATATTGGTAGAAATCCCAAAATCTCTGTGGCTACTGGAAAGGGTCATTGGGTGCACTGCGTCACCTCGAGAAGTGTCCCTCGTGCCCTGCCATTACTCAAAGAGATTACTGAGATGTCCCTCGTTACTAGACAGGAGTCCTGACGTCACTGAATAAATACGAGTTTTGAAGGGCAATCCCCACCGTAACTCGAGAACATATTGCAGGTCCCCGCTGCAAATCGAGGAAAACCATGAGACTTCCCCCTAGATGTGAGATGAGGCCCGATTCCCCTGCAGTGCACGCAGAGCAATTCCCTGATCCCCATCAAACAAGTCAGGAGCTTCGACTTGCTTAATGGATCTCGAGACAGTCCCCAAGAACACTGTCACCAGTCTAGACGGACCCTGATGTCACCCCAGCAACGCAAAGCAGCTCCATGTGCCCCAAATCAACGCGAGATGAGGCCCGATTCCCCTGCATTGACTCCAGAGCCATTCCCCGTTCCCCATTCAACACGACCGGTGGCTCGACTTCCTTCAGGCAACTCCAGAGATGCCCCGAGAACACTGTCCCAAGTCTAGAGGAACACCAACTTCAGCACAGCAACTCGAGGAATGCTCCGTCTACCCCAAATCGTCTCGAGATGCGAGCTGATTCCCTGGCTTAGGCTCAAGACGTATGCCAACTTCCCAGAAGCACCTCAGGAGGAGGCTTCTCTCAGCAATAGGTATGTGGGAGGGACCCCGAGTTTGCTGCCTCAAGGGGAATATACAGCGAGAAGCCCTAACTTGAAAGGAGGCCGGATTTCCTTGCAGTGGCTTGAATACAGGCTCGTCTTTCATCTCACAACATGAAGGGATGTCTGAATCCCCTGTGGAGACCTTAGAGAAAGCCCTAGGTCCCTGCCTCATTTTGACGGAATGCCTCACATCCCGCTGACACCTCGAGAGGCACGCGGAGTTCATTGCTTCAAAAGGTGACGATGCCTGACTCCTCTTGAATACTGATAGGAATCCCAAAATCCCTGTGGCTACTGGAAAGGGTCCTTGGGTGCCCTGCCTCACCTCGAGAAGCGTCCCTTTGGCCCTGCCAAGCCTCGAAGAGATTCCTGAGGTGTCCCTCGTTACTAGACAGGAGTCCTGACGTCACTGAAGAAACTCGTGTTTTGAAGGGCCATCCCCGCCGTAAGTCGAGAACATACCCCAGGTCCCCGCCGCAACTCGAGAAAAACCATGAGACTTCCCCCTAGAGGCGAGATGAGGCCCCATTCCCCTGCAGTGCATGCAGAGCTATTCCGTGATCCCATTCAAACAAGTCAGGAGCTTCGACTTGCTTAATGGATCTCGAGACAGTCCCCAAGAACACTGTCACCAGTCTAGACGGACCCTGAGGTCACCCCAGCAACGCAAAGCAGCTCCATGTGCCCCAAATCAACTCGAGATGAGGCCCGATTCCCCTGCATTGACTCCAGAGCCATTCCCCGTTCCCCATTCAACATGACCGGTGGCTCGACTTCCTTCAGGCAACTCCAGAGATGCCCCGAGAACACTGTCCCAAGTCTAGAGGAACACCAACTTCAGCACAGCAACTCGAGGAATGCTCCGTCTACCCCAAATCGTCTCGAGATGCGAGCTGATTCCCTGGCTTAGGCTCAAGACGTATGCCAACTTCCCAGAAGCACCTCAGGAGGAGGCTTCTCTCAGCAATAGGTATGTGGGAGGGACCCCGAGTTTGCTGCCTCAAGGGGAATATACAGCGAGAAGCCCTAACTTGAAAGGAGGCCGGATTTCCTTGCAGTGGCTTGAATACAGGCTCGTCTTTCATCTCACAACATGAAGGGATGTCTGAATCCCCTGTGGAGACCTTAGAGAAAGCCCTAGGTCCCTGCCTCATTTTGACGGAATGCCTCACATCCCGCTGACACCTCGAGAGGCACGCGGAGTTCATTGCTTCAAAAGGTGACGATGCCTGACTCCTCTTGAATACTGATAGGAATCCCAAAATCCCTGTGGCTACTGGAAAGGGTCCTTGGGTGCCCTGCCTCACCTCGAGAAGCGTCCCTTTGGCCCTGCCAAGCCTCGAAGAGATTCCTGAGGTGTCCCTCGTTACTAGACAGGAGTCCTGACGTCACTGAAGAAACTCGTGTTTTGAAGGGCCATCCCCGCCGTAAGTTGAGAACATACCCCAGGTCCCCGCCGCAACTCGAGAAAAACCATGAGACTTCCCCCTAGAGGCGAGATGAGGCCCCATTCCCCTGCAGTGCATGCAGAGCTATTCCGTGATCCCATTCAAACAAGTCAGGAGCTTCGACTTGCTTAATGGATCTCGAGACAGTCCCCAAGAACACTGTCACCAGTCTAGACGGACCCTGAGGTCACCCCAGCAACGCAAAGCAGCTCCATGTGCCCCAAATCAACGCGAGATGAGGCCCGATTCCCCTGCATTGACTCCAGAGCCATTCCCCGTTCCCCATTCAACACGACCGGTGGCTCGACTTCCTTCAGGCAACTCCAGAGATGCCCCGAGAACACTGTCCCAAGTCTAGAGGAACACCAACTTCAGCACAGCAACTCGAGGAATGCTCCGTCTACCCCAAATCGTCTCGAGATGCGAGCTGATTCCCTGGCTTAGGCTCAAGACTTATGCCAACTTCCCAGAAGCACGTCAGGAGGAGGCTTCGCTCAGCAATAGGTATGTGGGAGGGACCCCGAGTTTGCTGCCTCAAGGGGAATATACAGCGAGAAGCCCTAACTTGAAAGGAGGCCGGATTTCCTTGCAGTGGCTTGAATACAGGCTCGTCTTTCATCTCACAACATGAAGGGATGTCTGAACCCCCTGTGGAGACCTTAGAGAAAGCCCTAGGTCCCTGCCTCATTTTGACGGAATGCCTCACATCCCGCTGACACCTCGAGAGGCACGCGGAGTTCATTGCTTCAAAAGGTGACGATGCCTGACTCCTCTTGAATACTGATAGGAATCCCAAAATCCCTGTGGCTACTGGAAAGGGTCCTTGGGTGCCCTGCCTCACCTCGAGAAGCGTCCCTTTGGCCCTGCCAAGCCTCGAAGAGATTCCTGAGGTGTCCCTCGTTACTAGACAGGAGTCCTGACGTCACTGAAGAAACTCGTGTTTTGAAGGGCCATCCCCGCCGTAAGTCGAGAACATACCCCAGGTCCCCGCCGCAACTCGAGAAAAACCATGAGACTTCCCCCTAGAGGCGAGATGAGGCCCCATTCCCCTGCAGTGCATGCAGAGCTATTCCGTGATCCCATTCAAACAAGTCAGGAGCTTCGACTTGCTTAATGGATCTCGAGACAGTCCCCAAGAACACTGTCACCAGTCTAGACGGACCCTGAGGTCACCCCAGCAACGCAAAGCAGCTCCATGTGCCCCAAATCAACTCGAGATGAGGCCCGATTCCCCTGCATTGACTCCAGAGCCATTCCCCGTTCCCCATTCAACACGACCGGTGGCTCGACTTCCTTCAGGCAACTCCAGAGATGCCCCGAGAACACTGTCCCAAGTCTAGAGGAACACCAACTTCAGCACAGCAACTCGAGGAATGCTCCGTGTACCCCAAATCGTCTCGAGATGCGAGCTGATTCCCTGGCTTAGGCTCAAGACGTATGCCAACTTCCCAGAAGCACCTCAGGAGGAGGCTTCTCTCAGCAATAGGTATGTGGGAGGGACCCCGAATTTGCTGCCTCAAGGGGAATATACAGCGAGAAGCCCTAACTTGAATGGAGGCCGGATTTCCTTGCAGTGGCTTGAATACAGGCTCGTCTTTCATCTCACAACATGAAGGGATGTCTGAATCCCCTGTGGAGACCTTAGAGAAAGCCCTAGGTCCCTGCCTCATTTTGACGGAATGCCTCACATCCCGCTGACACCTCGAGAGGCACGCGGAGTTCATTGCTTCAAAAGGTGACGATGCCTGACTCCTCTTGAATACTGATAGGAATCCCAAAATCCCTGTGGCTACTGGAAAGGGTCCTTGGGTGCCCTGCCTCACCTCGAGAAGCGTCCCTTTGGCCCTGCCAAGCCTCGAAGAGATTCCTGAGGTGTCCCTCGTTACTAGACAGGAGTCCTGACGTCACTGAAGAAACTCGTGTCTTGAAGGGCCATCCCCGCCGTAAGTCGAGAACATACCCCAGGTCCCCGCCGCAACTCGAGAAAAACCATGAGACTTCCCCCTAGAGGCGAGATGAGGCCCCATTCCCCTGCAGTGCATGCAGAGCTATTCCGTGATCCCATTCAAACAAGTCAGGAGCTTCGGCTTGCTTAATGGATCTCGAGACAGTCCCCAAGAACACTGTCACCAGTCTAGACGGACCCTGAGGTCACCCCAGCAACGCAAAGCAGCTCCATGTGCCCCAAATCAACTCGAGATGAGGCCCGATTCCCCTGCATTGACTCCAGAGCCATTCCCCGTTCCCCATTCAACACGACCGGTGGCTCGACTTCCTTCAGGCAACTCCAGAGATGCCCCGAGAACACTGTCCCAAGTCTAGAGGAACACCAACTTCAGCACAGCAACTCGAGGAATGCTCCGTCTACCCCAAATCGTCTCGAGATGCGAGCTGATTCCCTGGCTTAGGCTCAAGACGTATGCCAACTTCCCAGAAGCACCTCAGGAGGAGGCTTCTCTCAGCAATAGGTATGTGGGAGGGACCCCGAGTTTGCTGCCTCAAGGGGAATATACAGCGAGAAGCCCTAACTTGAAAGGAGGCCGGATTTCCTTGCAGTGGCTTGAATACAGGCTCGTCTTTCATCTCACAACATGAAGGGATGTCTGAATCCCCTGTGGAGACCTTAGAGAAAGCCCTAGGTCCCTGCCTCATTTTGACGGAATGCCTCACATCCCGCTGACACCTCGAGAGGCACGCGGAGTTCATTGCTTCAAAAGGTGACGATGCCTGACTCCTCTTGAATACTGATAGGAATCCCAAAATCCCTGTGGCTACTGGAAAGGGTCCTTGGGTGCCCTGCCTCACCTCGAGAAGCGTCCCTTTGGCCCTGCCAAGCCTCGAAGAGATTCCTGAGGTGTCCCTCGTTACTAGATAGGAGTCCTGACGTCACTGAAGAAACTCGTGTCTTGAAGGGCCATCCCCGCCGTAAGTCGAGAACATACCCCAGGTCCCCGCCGCAACTCGAGAAAAACCATGAGACTTCCCCCTAGAGGCGAGATGAGGCCCCATTCCCCTGCAGTGCATGCAGAGCTATTCCGTGATCCCATTCAAACAAGTCAGGAGCTTCGACTTGCTTAATGGATCTCGAGACAGTCCCCAAGAACACTGTCACCAGTCTAGACGGACCCTGAGGTCACCCCAGCAACGCAAAGCAGCTCCGTGTGCCCCAAATCAACTCGAGATGAGGCCCGATTCCCCTGCATTGACTCCAGAGCCATTCCCCGTTCCCCATTCAACAAGACCGGTCCCTCGACTTCCTTCAGGCAACTCCAGAGATGCCCCGAGAACACTGTCCCAAGTCTAGAGGAACACCAACTTCAGCACAGCAACTCGAGGAATGCTCCGTCTACCCCAAATCGTCTCGAGATGCGAGCTGATTCCCTGGCTTAGGCTCAAGACGTATGCCAACTTCCCAGAAGCACCTCAGGAGGAGGCTTCTCTCAGCAATAGGTATGTGGGAGGGACCCCGAGTTTGCTGCCTCAAGGGGAATATACAGCGAGAAGCCCTAACTTGAAAGGAGGCCGGATTTCCTTGCAGTGGCTTGAATACAGGCTCGTCTTTCATCTCACAACATGAAGGGATGTCTGAATCCCCTGTGGAGACCTTAGAGAAAGCCCTAGGTCCCTGCCTCATTTTGACGGAATGCCTCACATCCCGCTGACACCTCGAGAGGCACGCGGAGTTCATTGCTTCAAAAGGTGACGATGCCTGACTCCTCTTGAATACTGATAGGAATCCCAAAATCCCTGTGGCTACTGGAAAGGGTCCTTGGGTGCCCTGCCTCACCTCGAGAAGCGTCCCTTTGGCCCTGCCAAGCCTCGAAGAGATTCCTGAGGTGTCCCTCGTTACTAGACAGGAGTCCTGACGTCACTGAAGAAACTCGTGTTTTGAAGGGCCATCCCCGCCGTAAGTCGAGAACATACCCCAGGTCCCCGCCGCAACTCGAGAAAAACCATGAGACTTCCCCCTAGAGGCGAGATGAGGCCCCATTCCCCTGCAGTGCATGCAGAGCTATTCCGTGATCCCATTCAAACAAGTCAGGAGCTTCGACTTGCTTAATGGATCTCGAGACAGTCCCCAAGAACACTGTCACCAGTCTAGACGGACCCTGAGGTCACCCCAGCAACGCAAAGCAGCTCCATGTGCCCCAAATCAACTCGAGATGAGGCCCGATTCCCCTGCATTGACTCCAGAGCCATTCCCCGTTCCCCATTCAACACGACCGGTGGCTCGACTTCCTTCAGGCAACTCCAGAGATGCCCCGAGAACACTGTCCCAAGTCTAGAGGAACACCAACTTCAGCACAGCAACTCGAGGAATGCTCCGTCTACCCCAAATCGTCTCGAGATGCGAGCTGATTCCCTGGCTTAGGCTCAAGACGTATGCCAACTTCCCAGAAGCACCTCAGGAGGAGGCTTCTCTCAGCAATAGGTATGTGGGAGGGCCCCCGAGTTTGCTGCCTCAAGGGGAATATACAGCGAGAAGCCCTAACTTGAAAGGAGGCCGGATTTCCTTGCAGTGGCTTGAATACAGGCTCGTCTTTCATCTCACAACATGAAGGGATGTCTGAATCCCCTGTGGAGACCTTAGAGAAAGCCCTAGGTCCCTGCCTCATTTTGACGGAATGCCTCACATCCCGCTGACACCTCGAGAGGCACGCGGAGTTCATTGCTTCAAAAGGTGACGATGCCTGACTCCTCTTGAATACTGATAGGAATCCCAAAATCCCTGTGGCTACTGGAAAGGGTCCTTGGGTGCCCTGCCTCACCTCGAGAAGCGTCCCTTTGGCCCTGCCAAGCCTCGAAGAGATTCCTGAGGTGTCCCGCGTTACTAGACAGGAGTCCTGACGTCACTGAAGAAACTCGTGTTTTGAAGGGCCATCCCCGCCGTAAGTTGAGAACATACCCCAGGTCCCCGCCGCAACTCGAGAAAAACCATGAGACTTCCCCCTAGAGGCGAGATGAGGCCCCATTCCCCTGCAGTGCATGCAGAGCTATTCCGTGATCCCATTCAAACAAGTCAGGAGCTTCGACTTGCTTAATGGATCTCGAGACAGTCCCCAAGAACACTGTCACCAGTCTAGACGGACCCTGAGGTCACCCCAGCAACGCAAAGCAGCTCCGTGTGCCCCAAATCAACTCGAGATGAGGCCCGATTCCCCTGCATTGACTCCAGAGCCATTCCCCGTTCCCCATTCAACACGACCGGTGGCTCGACTTCCTTCAGGCAACTCCAGAGATGCCCCGAGAACACTGTCCCAAGTCTAGAGGAACACCAACTTCAGCACAGCAACGCGAGGAATGCTCCGTGTACCCCAAATCGTCTCGAGATGCGAGCTGATTCCCTGGCTTAGGCTCAAGACGTATGCCAACTTCCCAGAAGCACCTCCGGAGGAGGCTTCTCTCAGCAATAGGTATGTGGGAGGGACCCCGAGTTTGCTGCCTCAAGGGGAATATACAGCGAGAAGCCCTAACTTGAAAGGAGGCCGGATTTCCTTGCAGTGGCTTGAATACAGGCTCGTCTTTCATCTCACAACATGAAGGGATGTCTGAATCCCCTGTGGAGACCTTAGAGAAAGCCCTAGGTCCCTGCCTCATTTTGACGGAATGCCTCACATCCCGCTGACACCTCGAGAGGCACGCGGAGTTCATTGCTTCAAAAGGTGACGATGCCTGACTCCTCTTGAATACTGATAGGAATCCCAAAATCCCTGTGGCTACTGGAAAGGGTCCTTGGGTGCCCTGCCTCACCTCGAGAAGCGTCCCTTTGGCCCTGCCAAGCCTCGAAGAGATTCCTGAGGTGTCCCTCGTTACTAGACAGGAGTCCTGACGTCACTGAAGAAACTCGTGTTTTGAAGGGCCATCCCCGCCGTAAGTCGAGAACATACCCCAGGTCCCCGCCGCAACTCGAGAAAAACCATGAGACTTCCCCCTAGAGGCGAGATGAGGCCCCATTCCCCTGCAGTGCATGCAGAGCTATTCCGTGATCCCATTCAAACAAGTCAGGAGCTTCGACTTGCTTAATGGATCTCGAGACAGTCCCCAAGAACACTGTCACCAGTCTAGACGGACCCTGAGGTCACCCCAGCAACGCAAAGCAGCTCCATGTGCCCCAAATCAACTCGAGATGAGGCCCGATTCCCCTGCATTGACTCCAGAGCCATTCCCCGTTCCCCATTCAACACGACCGGTGGCTCGACTTCCTTCAGGCAACTCCAGAGATGCCCCGAGAACACTGTCCCAAGTCTAGAGGAACACCAACTTCAGCACAGCAACTCGAGGAATGCTCCGTCTACCCCAAATCGTCTCGAGATGCGAGCTGATTCCCTGGCTTAGGCTCAAGACGTATGCCAACTTCCCAGAAGCACCTCAGGAGGAGGCTTCTCTCAGCAATAGGTATGTGGGAGGGACCCCGAGTTTGCTGCCTCAAGGGGAATATACAGCGAGAAGCCCTAACTTGAAAGGAGGCCGGATTTCCTTGCAGTGGCTTGAATACAGGCTCGTCTTTCATCTCACAACATGAAGGGATGTCTGAATCCCCTGTGGAGACCTTAGAGAAAGCCCTAGGTCCCTGCCTCATTTTGACGGAATGCCTCACATCCCGCTGACACCTCGAGAGGCACGCGGAGTTCATTGCTTCAAAAGGTGACGATGCCTGACTCCTCTTGAATACTGATAGGAATCCCAAAATCCCTGTGGCTACTGGAAAGGGTCCTTGGGTGCCCTGCCTCACCTCGAGAAGCGTCCCTTTGGCCCTGCCAAGCCTCGAAGAGATTCCTGAGGTGTCCCTCGTTACTAGACAGGAGTCCTGACGTCACTGAAGAAACTCGTGTCTTGAAGGGCCATCCCCGCCGTAAGTCGAGAACATACCCCAGGTCCCCGCCGCAACTCGAGAAAAACCATGAGACTTCCCCCTAGAGGCGAGATGAGGCCCCATTCCCCTGCAGTGCATGCAGAGCTATTCCGTGATCCCATTCAAACAAGTCAGGAGCTTCGACTTGCTTAATGGATCTCGAGACAGTCCCCAAGAACACTGTCACCAGTCTAGACGGACCCTGAGGTCACCCCAGCAACGCAAAGCAGCTCCGTGTGCCCCAAATCAACTCGAGATGAGGCCCGATTCCCCTGCATTGACTCCAGAGCCATTCCCCGTTCCCCATTCAACACGACCGGTGGCTCGACTTCCTTCAGGCAACTCCAGAGATGCCCCGAGAACACTGTCCCAAGTCTAGAGGAACACCAACTTCAGCACAGCAACTCGAGGAATGCTCCGTCTACCCCAAATCGTCTCGAGATGCGAGCTGATTCCCTGGCTTAGGCTCAAGACGTATGCCAACTTCCCAGAAGCACCTCAGGAGGAGGCTTCTCTCAGCAATAGGTATGTGGGAGGGACCCCGAGTTTGCTGCCTCAAGGGGAATATACAGCGAGAAGCCCTAACTTGAAAGGAGGCCGGATTTCCTTGCAGTGGCTTGAATACAGGCTCGTCTTTCATCTCACAACATGAAGGGATGTCTGAATCCCCTGTGGAGACCTTAGAGAAAGCCCTAGGTCCCTGCCTCATTTTGACGGAATGCCTCACATCCCGCTGACACCTCGAGAGGCACGCGGAGTTCATTGCTTCAAAAGGTGACGATGCCTGACTCCTCTTGAATACTGATAGGAATCCCAAAATCCCTGTGGCTACTGGAAAGGGTCCTTGGGTGCCCTGCCTCACCTCGAGAAGCGTCCCTTTGGCCCTGCCAAGCCTCGAAGAGATTCCTGAGGTGTCCCTCGTTACTAGACAGGAGTCCTGACGTCACTGAAGAAACTCGTGTCTTGAAGGGCCATCCCCGCCGTAAGTCGAGAACATAGCCCAGGTCCCCGCCGCAACTCGAGAAAAACCATGAGACTTCCCCCTAGAGGCGAGATGAGGCCCCATTCCCCTGCAGTGCATGCAGAGCTATTCCGTGATCCCATTCAAACAAGTCAGGAGCTTCGACTTGCTTAATGGATCTCGAGACAGTCCCCAAGAACACTGTCACCAGTCTAGACGGACCCTGAGGTCACCCCAGCAACGCAAAGCAGCTCCATGTGCCCCAAATCAACTCGAGATGAGGCCCGATTCCCCTGCATTGACTCCAGAGCCATTCCCCGTTCCCCATTCAACACGACCGGTGGCTCGACTTCCTTCAGGCAACTCCAGAGATGCCCCGAGAACACTGTCCCAAGTCTAGAGGAACACCAACTTCAGCACAGCAACTCGAGGAATGCTCCGTCTACCCCAAATCGTCTCGAGATGCGAGCTGATTCCCTGGCTTAGGCTCAAGACGTATGCCAACTTCCCAGAAGCACCTCCGGAGGATGCTTCTCTCAGCAATAGGTATGTGGGAGGGACCCCGAGTTTGCTGCCTCAAGGGGAATATACAGCGAGAAGCCCTAACTTGAAAGGAGGCCGGATTTCCTTGCAGTGGCTTGAATACAGGCTCGTCTTTCATCTCACAACATGAAGGGATGTCTGAATCCCCTGTGGAGACCTTAGAGAAAGCCCTAGGTCCCTGCCTCATTTTGACGGAATGCCTCACATCCCGCTGACACCTCGAGAGGCACGCGGAGTTCATTGCTTCAAAAGGTGACGATGCCTGACTCCTCTTGAATACTGATAGGAATCCCAAAATCCCTGTGGCTACTGGAAAGGGTCCTTGGGTGCCCTGCCTCACCTCGAGAAGCGTCCCTTTGGCCCTGCCAAGCCTCGAAGAGATTCCTGAGGTGTCCCTCGTTACTAGACAGGAGTCCTGACGTCACTGAAGAAACTCGTGTTTTGAAGGGCCATCCCCGCCGTAAGTCGAGAACATACCCCAGGTCCCCGCCGCAACTCGAGAAAAACCATGAGACTTCCCCCTAGAGGCGAGATGAGGCCCCATTCCCCTGCAGTGCATGCAGAGCTATTCCGTGATCCCATTCAAACAAGTCAGGAGCTTCGACTTGCTTAATGGATCTCGAGACAGTCCCCAAGAACACTGTCACCAGTCTAGACGGACCCTGAGGTCACCCCAGCAACGCAAAGCAGCTCCATGTGCCCCAAATCAACTCGAGATGAGGCCCGATTCCCCTGCATTGACTCCAGAGCCATTTCCCGTTCCCCATTCAACACGACCGGTGGCTCGACTTCCTTCAGGCAACTCCAGAGATGCCCCGAGAACACTGTCCCAAGTCTAGAGGAACACCAACTTCAGCACAGCAACTCGAGGAATGCTCCGTCTACCCCAAATCGTCTCGAGATGCGAGCTGATTCCCTGGCTTAGGCTCAAGACGTATGCCAACTTCCCAGAAGCACCTCAGGAGGAGGCTTCTCTCAGCAATAGGTATGTGGGAGGGACCCCGAGTTTGCTGCCTCAAGGGGAATATACAGCGAGAAGCCCTAACTTGAAAGGAGGCCGGATTTCCTTGCAGTGGCTTGAATACAGGCTCGTCTTTCATCTCACAACATGAAGGGATGTCTGAATCCCCTGTGGAGACCTTAGAGAAAGCCCTAGGTCCCTGCCTCATTTTGACGGAATGCCTCACATCCCGCTGACACCTCGAGAGGCACGCGGAGTTCATTGCTTCAAAAGGTGACGATGCCTGACTCCTCTTGAATACTGATAGGAATCCCAAAATCCCTGTGGCTACTGGAAAGGGTCCTTGGGTGCCCTGCCTCACCTCGAGAAGCGTCCCTTTGGCCCTGCCAAGCCTCGAAGAGATTCCTGAGGTGTCCCTCGTTACTAGACAGGAGTCCTGACGTCACTGAAGAAACTCGTGTTTTGAAGGGCCATCCCCGCCGTAAGTTGAGAACATACCCCAGGTCCCCGCCGCAACTCGAGAAAAACCATGAGACTTCCCCCTAGAGGCGAGATGAGGCCCCATTCCCCTGCAGTGCATGCAGAGCTATTCCGTGATCCCATTCAAACAAGTCAGGAGCTTCGACTTGCTTAATGGATCTCGAGACAGTCCCCAAGAACACTGTCACCAGTCTAGACGGACCGTGAGGTCACCCCAGCAACGCAAAGCAGCTCAATGTGCCCCAAATCAACTCGAGATGAGGCCCGATTCCCCTGCATTGACTCCAGAGCCATTCCCCGTTCCCCATTCAACACGACCGGTGGCTCGACTTCCTTCAGGCAACTCCAGAGATGCCCCGAGAACACTGTCCCAAGTCTAGAGGAACACCAACTTCAGCACAGCAACTCGAGGAATGCTCCGTGTACCCCAAATCGTCTCGAGATGCGAGCTGATTCCCTGGCTTAGGCTCAAGACGTATGCCAACTTCCCAGAAGCACCTCAGGAGGAGGCTTCTCTCAGCAATAGGTATGTGGGAGGGACCCCGAGTTTGCTGCCTCAAGGGGAATATACAGCGAGAAGCCCTAACTTGAAAGGAGGCCGGATTTCCTTGCAGTGGCTTGAGTACAGGCTCGTCTTTCATCTCACAACATGAAGGGATGTCTGAATCCCCTGTGGAGACCTTAGAGAAAGCCCTAGGTCCCTGCCTCATTTTGACGGAATGCCTCACATCCCGCTGACACCTCGAGAGGCAGGCGGAGTTCATTGCTTCAAAAGGTGACGATGCCTGACTCCTCTTGAATACTGATAGGAATCCCAAAATCCCTGTGGCTACTGGAAAGGGTCCTTGGGTGCCCTGCCTCACCTCGAGAAGCGTCCCTTTGGCCCTGCCAAGCCTCGAAGAGATTCCTGAGGTGTCCCTCGTTACTAGACAGGAGTCCTGACGTCACTGAAGAAACTCGTGTTTTGAAGGGCCATCCCCGCCGTAAGTCGAGAACATACCCCAGGTCCCCGCCGCAACTCGAGAAAAACCATGAGACTTCCCCCTAGAGGCGAGATGAGGCCCCATTCCCCTGCAGTGCATGCAGAGCTATTCCGTGATCCCATTCAAACAAGTCAGGAGCTTCGACTTGCTTAATGGATCTCGAGACAGTCCCCAAGAACACTGTCACCAGTCTAGACGGACCCTGAGGTCACCCCAGCAACGCAAAGCAGCTCCATGTGCCCCAAATCAACTCGAGATGAGGCCCGATTCCCCTGCATTGACTCCAGAGCCATTCCCCGTTCCCCATTCAACACGACCGGTGGCTCGACTTCCTTCAGGCCACTCCAGAGATGCCCCGAGAACACTGTCCCAAGTCTAGAGGAACACCAACTTCAGCACAGCAACTCGAGGAATGCTCCGTCTACCCCAAATCGTCTCGAGATGCGAGCTGATTCCCTGGCTTAGGCTCAAGACGTATGCCAACTTCCCAGAAGCACCTCAGGAGGAGGCTTCTCTCAGCAATAGGTATGTGGGAGGGACCCCGAGTTTGCTGCCTCAAGGGGAATATACAGCGAGAAGCCCTAACTTGAAAGGAGGCCGGATTTCCTTGCAGTGGCTTGAATACAGGCTCGTCTTTCATCTCACAACATGAAGGGATGTCTGAATCCCCTGTGGAGACCTTAGAGAAAGCCCTAGGTCCCTGCCTCATTTTGACGGAATGCCTCACATCCCGCTGACACCTCGAGAGGCACGCGGAGTTCATTGCTTCAAAAGGTGACGATGCCTGACTCCTCTTGAATACTGATAGGAATCCCAAAATCCCTGTGGCTACTGGAAAGGGTCCTTGGGTGCCCTGCCTCACCTCGAGAAGCGTCCCTTTGGCCCTGCCAAGCCTCGAAGAGATTCCTGAGGTGTCCCTCGTTACTAGACAGGAGTCCTGACGTCACTGAAGAAACTCGTGTCTTGAAGGGCCATCCCCGCCGTAAGTCGAGAACATAGCCCAGGTCCCCGCCGCAACTCGAGAAAAACCATGAGACTTCCCCCTAGAGGCGAGATGAGGCCCCATTCCCCTGCAGTGCATGCAGAGCTATTCCGTGATCCCATTCAAACAAGTCAGGAGCTTCGACTTGCTTAATGGATCTCGAGACAGTCCCCAAGAACACTGTCACCAGTCTAGACGGACCCTGAGGTCACCCCAGCAACGCAAAGCAGCTCCATGTGCCCCAAATCAACTCGAGATGAGGCCCGATTCCCCTGCATTGACTCCAGAGCCATTCCCCGTTCCCCATTCAACACGACCGGTGGCTCGACTTCCTTCAGGCAACTCCAGAGATGCCCCGAGAACACTGTCCCAAGTCTAGAGGAACACCAACTTCAGCACAGCAACTCGAGGAATGCTCCGTCTACCCCAAATCGTCTCGAGATGCGAGCTGATTCCCTGGCTTAGGCTCAAGACGTATGCCAACTTCCCAGAAGCACCTCAGGAGGAGGCTTCTCTCAGCAATAGGTATGTGGGAGGGACCCCGAGTTTGCTGCCTCAAGGGGAATATACAGCGAGAAGCCCTAACTTGAAAGGAGGCCGGATTTCCTTGCAGTGGCTTGAATACAGGCTCGTCTTTCATCTCACAACATGAAGGGATGTCTGAATCCCCTGTGGAGACCTTAGAGAAAGCCCTAGGTCCCTGCCTCATTTTGACGGAATGCCTCACATCCCACTGACACCTCGAGAGGCACGCGGAGTTCATTGCTTCAAAAGGTGACGATGCCTGACTCCTCTTGAATACTGATAGGAATCCCAAAATCCCTGTGGCTACTGGAAAGGGTCCTTGGGTGCCCTGCCTCACCTCGAGAAGCGTCCCTTTGGCCCTGCCAAGCCTCGAAGAGATTCCTGAGGTGTCCCTCGTTACTAGACAGGAGTCCTGACGTCACTGAAGAAACTCGTGTCTTGAAGGGCCATCCCCGCCGTAAGTCGAGAACATAGCCCAGGTCCCCGCCGCAACTCGAGAAAAACCATGAGACTTCCCCCTAGAGGCGAGATGAGGCCCCATTCCCCTGCAGTGCATGCAGAGCTATTCCGTGATCCCATTCAAACAAGTCAGGAGCTTCGACTTGCTTAATGGATCTCGAGACAGTCCCCAAGAACACTGTCACCAGTCTAGACGGACCCTGAGGTCACCCCAGCAACGCAAAGCAGCTCCATGTGCCCCAAATCAACTCGAGATGAGGCCCGATTCCCCTGCATTGACTCCAGAGCCATTCCCCGTTCCCCATTCAACACGACCGGTGGCTCGACTTCCTTCAGGCAACTCCAGAGATGCCCCGAGAACACTGTCCCAAGTCTAGAGGAACACCAACTTCAGCACAGCAACTCGAGGAATGCTCCGTGTACCCCAAATCGTCTCGAGATGCGAGCTGATTCCCTGGCTTAGGCTCAAGACGTATGCCAACTTCCCAGAAGCACCTCAGGAGGAGGCTTCTCTCAGCAATAGGTATGTGGGAGGGACCCCGAGTTTGCTGCCTCAAGGGGAATATACAGCGAGAAGCCCTAACTTGAAAGGAGGCCGGATTTCCTTGCAGTGGCTTGAATACAGGCTCGTCTTTCATCTCACAACATGAAGGGATGTCTGAATCCCCTGTGGAGACCTTAGAGAAAGCCCTAGGTCCCTGCCTCATTTTGACGGAATGCCTCACATCCCGCTGACACCTCGAGAGGCACGCGGAGTTCATTGCTTCAAAAGGTGACGATGCCTGACTCCTCTTGAATACTGATAGGAATCCCAAAATCCCTGTGGCTACTGGAAAGGGTCCTTGGGTGCCCTGCCTCACCTCGAGAAGCGTCCCTTTGGCCCTGCCAAGCCTCGAAGAGATTCCTGAGGTGTCCCTCGTTACTAGACAGGAGTCCTGACGTCACTGAAGAAACTCGTGTTTTGAAGGGCCATCCCCGCCGTAAGTCGAGAACATACCCCACGTCCCCGCCGCAACTCGAGAAAAACCATGAGACTTCCCCCTAGAGGCGAGATGAGGCCCCATTCCCCTGCAGTGCATGCAGAGCTATTCCGTGATCCCATTCAAACAAGTCAGGAGCTTCGGCTTGCTTAATGGATCTCGAGACAGTCCCCAAGAACACTGTCACCAGTCTAGACGGACCCTGAGGTCAACCCAGCAATGCAAAGCAGCTCCATGTGCCCCAAATCAACTCGAGATGAGGCCCGATTCCCCTGCATTGACTCCAGAGCCATTCCCCATTCCCCATTCAACACGACCGGTGGCTCGACTTCCTTCAGGCAACTCCAGAGATGCCCCGAGAACACTGTCCCAAGACTAGAGGAACACCAACTTCAGCACAGCAACTCGAGGAATGCTCCGTGTACCCCAAATCGTCTCGAGATGCGAGCTGATTCCCTGGCTTAGGCTCAAGACGTATGCCAACTTCCCACAAGCACCTCAGGAGGAGGCTTCTCTCAGCAATAGGTATGTGGGAGGGACCCCGAGTTTGCTGCCTCAAGGGGAATATACAGCGAGAAGCCCTAACTTGAAAGGAGGCCGGATTTCCTTGCAGTGGCTTGAATACAGGCTCGTCTTTCATCTCACAACATGAAGGGATGTCTGAATCCCCTGTGGAGACCTTAGAGAAAGCTCTAGGTCCCTGCCTCATTTTGACGGAATGCCTCACATCCCGCTGACACCTCGAGAGGCACGCGGAGTTCATTGCTTCAAAAGGTGACGATGCCTGACTCCTCTTGAATACTGATAGGAATCCCAAAATCCCTGTGGCTACTGGAAAGGGTCCTTGGGTGCCCTGCCTCACCTCGAGAAGCGTCCCTTTGGCCCTGCCAAGCCTCGAAGAGATTCCTGAGGTGTCCCTCGTTACTAGACAGGAGTCCTGACGTCACTGAAGAAACTCGTGTTTTGAAGGGCCATCCCCGCCGTAAGTCGAGAACATACCCCAGGTCCCCGCCGCAACTCGAGAAAAACCATGAGACTTCCCCCTAGAGGCGAGATGAGGCCCCATTCCCCTGCAGTGCATGCAGAGCTATTCCGTGATCCCATTCAAACAAGTCAGGAGCTTCGGCTTGCTTAATGGATCTCGAGACAGTCCCCAAGAACACTGTCACCAGTCTAGATGGACCCTGAGGTCACCCCAGCAACGCAAAGCAGCTCCATGTGCCCCAAATCAACTCGAGATGAGGCCCGATTCCCCTGCATTGACTCCAGAGCCATTCCCCGTTCCCCATTCAACACGACCGGTGACTCGACTTCCTTCAGGCAACTCCAGAGATGCCCCAAGAACACTGTCCCAAGACTAGAAGAACACCAACTTCAGCACAGCAACTCGAGGAATGCTCCGTCTACCCCAAATCGTCTCGAGATGCGAGCTGATTCCCTGGCTTAGGCTCAAGACGTATGCCAACTTCCCAGAAGCACCTCAGGAGGAGGCTTCTCTCAGCAATAGGTATGTGGGAGGGACCCCGAGTTTGCTGCCTCAAGGGGAATATACAGCGAGAAGCCCTAACTTGAAAGGAGGCCGGATTTCCTTGCAGTGGCTTGAATACAGGCTCGTCTTTCATCTCACAACATGAAGGGATGTCTGAATCCCCTGTGGAGACCTTAGAGAAAGCCCTAGGTCCCTGCCTCATTTTGACGGAATGCCTCACATCCCGCTGACACCTCGAGAGGCACGCGGAGTTCATTGCTTCAAAAGGTGATGATGCCTGACTCCTCTTGAATACTGATAGGAATCCCAAAATCCCTGTGGCTACTGGAAAGGGTCCTTGGGTGCCCTGCATCACCTCGAGAAGCGTCCCTTTGGCCCTGCCAAGCCTCGAAGAGATTCCTGAGGTGTCCCTCGTTACTAGACAGGAGTCCTGACGTCACTGAAGAAACTCGTGTTTTGAAGGGCCATCCCCGCCGTAAGTCGAGAACATACCCCAGGTCCCCGCCGCAACTCGAGAAAAACCATGAGACTTCCCCCTAGAGGCGAGATGAGGCCCCATTCCCCTGCAGTGCATGCAGAGCTATTCCGTGATCCCATTCAAACAAGTCAGGAGCTTCGACTTGCTTAATGGATCTCGAGACAGTCCCCAAGAACACTGTCACCAGTCTAGACGGACCCTGAGGTCACCCCAGCAACGCAAAGCAGCTCCGTGTGCCCCAAATCAACTCGAGATGAGGCCCGATTCCCCTGCATTGACTCCAGAGCCATTCCCCGTTCCCCATTCAACAAGACCGGTCCCTCGACTTCCTTCAGGCAACTCCAGAGATGCCCCGAGAACACTGTCCCAAGTCTAGAGGAACACCAACTTCAGCACAGCAACTCGAGGAATGCTCCGTGTACCCCAAATCGTCTCGAGATGCGAGCTGATTCCCTGGCTTAGGCTCAAGACGTATGCCAACTTCCCAGAAGCACCTCAGGAGGAGGCTTCTCTCAGCAATAGGTATGTGGGAGGGACCCCGAGTTTGCTGCCTCAAGGGGAATATACAGCGAGAAGCCCTAACTTGAAAGGAGGCCGGATTTCCTTGCAGTGGCTTGAATACAGGCTCGTCTTTCATCTCACAACATGAAGGGATGTCTGAATCCCCTGTGGAGACCTTAGAGAAAGCCCTAGGTCCCTGCCTCATTTTGACGGAATGCCTCACATCCCGCTGACACCTCGAGAGGCACGCGGAGTTCATTGCTTCAAAAGGTGACGATGCCTGACTTCTCTTGAATACTGATAGGAATCCCAAAATCCCTGTGGCTACTGGAAAGGGTCCTTGGGTGCCCTGCCTCACCTCGAGAAGCGTCCCTTTGGCCCTGCCAAGCCTCGAAGAGATTCCTGAGGTGTCCCTCGTTACTAGACAGGAGTCCTGACGTCTCTGAAGAAACTCGTGTTTTGAAGGGCCATCCCCGCCGTAAGTCGAGAACATAGCCCAGGTCCCCGCCGCAACTCGAGAAAAACCATGAGACTTCCCCCTAGAGGCGAGATGAGGCCCCATTCCCCTGCAGTGCATGCAGAGCTATTCCGTGATCCCATTCAAACAAGTCAGGAGCTTCGACTTGCTTAATGGATCTCGAGACAGTCCCCAAGAACACTGTCACCAGTCTAGACGGACCCTGAGGTCACCCCAGCAACGCAAAGCAGCTCCATGTGCCCCAAATCAACTCGAGATGAGGCCCGATTCCCCTGCATTGACTCCAGAGCCATTCCCCGTTCCCCATTCAACACGACCGGTGGCTCGACTTCCTTCAGGCAACTCCAGAGATGCCCCGAGAACACTGTCCCAAGTCTAGAGGAACACCAACTTCAGCACAGCAACTCGAGGAATGCTCCGTGTACCCCAAATCGTCTCGAGATGCGAGCTGATTCCCTGGCTTAGGCTCAAGACGTATGCCAACTTCCCAGAAGCACCTCAGGAGGAGGCTTCTCTCAGCAATAGGTATGTGGGAGGGACCCCGAGTTTGCTGCCTCAAGGGGAATATACAGCGAGAAGCCCTAACTTGAAAGGAGGCCGGATTTCCTTGCAGTGGCTTGAATACAGGCTCGTCTTTCATCTCACAACATGAAGGGATGTCTGAATCCCCTGTGGAGACCTTAGAGAAAGCCCTAGGTCCCTGCCTCATTTTGACGGAATGCCTCACATCCCGCTGACACCTCGAGAGGCACGCGGAGTTCATTGCTTCAAAAGGTGACGATGCCTGACTCCTCTTGAATACTGATAGGAATCCCAAAATCCCTGTGGCTACTGGAAAGGGTCCTTGGGTGCCCTGCCTCACCTCGAGAAGCGTCCCTTTGGCCCTGCCAAGCCTCGAAGAGATTCCTGAGGTGTCCCTCGTTACTAGACAGGAGTCCTGACGTCACTGAAGAAACTCGTGTTTTGAAGGGCCATCCCCGCCGTAAGTCGAGAACATACCCCAGGTCCCCGCCGCAACTCGAGAAAAACCATGAGACTTCCCCCTAGAGGCGAGATGAGGCCCCATTCCCCTGCAGTGCATGCAGAGCTATTCCGTGATCCCATTCAAACAAGTCAGGAGCTTCGACTTGCTTAATGGATCTCGAGACAGTCCCCAAGAACACTGTCACAAGTCTAGACGGACCCTGAGGTCACCCCAGCAACGCAAAGCAGCTCCGTGTGCCCCAAATCAACTCGAGATGAGGCCCGATTCCCCTGCATTGACTCCAGAGCCATTCCCCGTTCCCCATTCAACACGACCGGTGGCTCGACTTCCTTCAGGCAACTCCAGAGATGCCCCGAGAACACTGTCCCAAGTCTAGAGGAACACCAACTTCAGCACAGCAACGCGAGGAATGCTCCGTGTACCCCAAATCGTCTCGAGATGCGAGCTGATTCCCTGGCTTAGGCTCAAGACGTATGCCAACTTCCCAGAAGCACCTCCGGAGGAGGCTTCTCTCAGCAATAGGTATGTGGGAGGGACCCCGAGTTTGCTGCCTCAAGGGGAATATACAGCGAGAAGCCCTAACTTGAAAGGAGGCCGGATTTCCTTGCAGTGGCTTGAATACAGGCTCGTCTTTCATCTCACAACATGAAGGGATGTCTGAATCCCCTGTGGAGACCTTAGAGAAAGCCCTAGGTCCCTGCCTCATTTTGACGGAATGCCTCACATCCCGCTGACACCTCGAGAGGCACGCAGAGTTCATTGCTTCAAAAGGTGACGATGCCTGACTCCTCTTGAATACTGATAGGAATCCCAAAATCCCTGTGGCTACTGGAAAGGGTCCTTGGGTGCCCTGCCTCACCTCGAGAAGCGTCCCTTTGGCCCTGCCAAGCCTCGAAGAGATTCCTGAGGTGTCCCTCGTTACTAGACAGGAGTCCTGATGTCACTGAAGAAACTCGTGTTTTGAAGGGCCATCCCCGCCGTAAGTCGAGAACATAGCCCAGGTCCCCGCCGCAACTCGAGAAAAACCATGAGACTTCCCCCTAGAGGCGAGATGAGGCCCCATTCCCCTGCAGTGCATGCAGAGCTATTCCGTGATCCCATTCAAACAAGTCAGGAGCTTCGACTTGCTTAATGGATCTCGAGACAGTCCCCAAGAACACTGTCACCAGTCTAGACGGACCCTGAGGTCACCCCAGCAACGCAAAGCAGTTCCATGTGCCCCAAATCAACTCGAGATGAGGCCCGATTCCCCTGCATTGACTCCAGAGCCATTCCCCGTTCCCCATTCAACACGACCGGTGGCTCGACTTCCTTCAGGCAACTCCAGAGATGCCCCGAGAACACTGTCCCAAGTCTAGAGGAACACCAACTTCAGCACAGCAACTCGAGGAATGCTCCGTGTACCCCAAATCGTCTCGAGATGCGAGCTGATTCCCTGGCTTAGGCTCAAGACGTATGCCAACTTCCCAGAAGCACCTCAGGAGAAGGCTTCTCTCAGCAATAGGTATGTGGGAGGGACCCCGAGTTTGCTGCCTCAAGGGGAATATACAGCGAGAAGCCCTAACTTGAAAGGAGGCCGGATTTCCTTGCAGTGGCTTGAATACAGGCTCGTCTTTCATCTCACAACATGAAGGGATGTCTGAATCCCCTGTGGAGACCTTAGAGAAAGCCCTAGGTCCCTGCCTCATTTTGACGGAATGCCTCACATCCCGCTGACACCTCGAGAGGCACGCGGAGTTCATTGCTTCAAAAGGTGACGATGCCTGACTCCTCTTGAATACTGATAGGAATCCCAAAATCCCTGTGGCTACTGGAAAGGGTCCTTGGGTGCCCTGCCTCACCTCGAGAAGCGTCCCTTTGGCCCTGCCAAGCCTCGAAGAGATTCCTGAGGTGTCCCTCGTTACTAGACAGGAGTCCTGACGTCACTGAAGAAACTCGTGTTTTGAAGGGCCATCCCCGCCGTAAGTCGAGAACATACCCCAGGTCCCCGCCGCAACTCGAGAAAAACCATGAGACTTCCCCCTAGAGGCGAGATGAGGCCCCATTCCCCTGCAGTGCATGCAGAGCTATTCCGTGATCCCATTCAAACAAGTCAGGAGCTTCGACTTGCTTAATGGATCTCGAGACAGTCCCCAAGAACACTGTCACCAGTCTAGACGGACCCTGAGGTCACCCCAGCAACGCAAAGCAGCACCATGTGCCCCAAATCAACTCGAGATGAGGCCCGATTCCCCTGCATTGACTCCAGAGCCATTCCCCGTTCCCCATTCAACACGACCGGTGGCTCGACTTCCTTCAGGCAACTCCAGAGATGCCCCGAGAACACTGTCCCAAGTCTAGAGGAACACCAACTTCAGCACAGCAACTCGAGGAATGCTCCGTGTACCCCAAATCGTCTCGAGATGCGAGCTGATTCCCTGGCTTAGGCTCAAGACGTATGCCAACTTCCCAGAAGCACCTCAGGAGGAGGCTTCTCTCAGCAATAGGTATGTGGGAGGGACCCCGAGTTTGCTGCCTCAAGGGGAATATACAGCGAGAAGCCCTAACTTGAAAGGAGGCCGGATTTCCTTGCAGTGGCTTGAATACAGGCTCGTCTTTCATCTCTCAACATGAAGGGATGTCTGAATCCCCTGTGGAGACCTTAGAGAAAGCCCTAGGTCCCTGACTCATTTTGACGGAATGCCTCACATCCCGCTGACACCTCGAGAGGCACGCGGAGTTCATTGCTTCAAAAGGTGACGATGCCTGACTCCTCTTGAATACTGATAGGAATCCCAAAATCCCTGTGGCTACTGGAAAGGGTCCTTGGGTGCCCTGCCTCACCTCGAGAAGCGTCCCTTTGGCCCTGCCAAGCCTCGAAGAGATTCCTGAGGTGTCCCTCGTTAATAGACAGGAGTCCTGACGTCACTGAAGAAACTCGTGTTTTGAAGGGCCATCCCCGCCGTAAGTTGAGAACATACCCCAGGTCCCCGCCGCAACTCGAGAAAAACCATGAGACTTCCCCCTAGAGGCGAGATGAGGCCCCATTCCCCTGCAGTGCATGCAGAGCTATTCCGTGATCCCATTCAAACAAGTCAGGAGCTTCGACTTGCTTAATGGATCTCGAGACAGTCCCCAAGAACACTGTCACCAGTCTAGACGGACCCTGAGGTCACCCCAGCAACGCAAAGCAGCTCCATGTGCCCCAAATCAACTCGAGATGAGGCCCGATTCCCCTGCATTGACTCCAGAGCCATTCCCCGTTCCCCATTCAACACGACCGGTGGCTCGACTTCCTTCAGGCAACTCCAGAGATGCCCCGAGAACACTGTCCCAAGTCTAGAGGAACACCAACTTCAGCACAGCAACTCGAGGAATGCTCCGTCTACCCCAAATCGTCTCGAGATGCGAGCTGATTCCCTGGCTTAGGCTCAAGACGTATGCCAACTTCCCAGAAGCACCTCAGGAAGAGGCTTCTCTCAGCAATAGGTATGTGGGAGGGACCCCGAGTTTGCTGCCTCAAGGGGAATATACAGCGAGAAGCCCTAACTTGAAAGGAGGCCGGATTTCCTTGCAGTGGCTTGAATACAGGCTCGTCTTTCATCTCACAACATGAAGGGATGTCTGAATCCCCTGTGGAGACCTTAGAGAAAGCCCTAGGTCCCTGCCTCATTTTGACGGAATGCCTCACATCCCGCTGACACCTCGAGAGGCACGCGGAGTTCATTGCTTCAAAAGGTGACGATGCCTGACTCCTCTTGAATACTGATAGGAATCCCAAAATCCCTGTGGCTACTGGAAAGGGTCCTTGGGTGCCCTGCCTCACCTCGAGAAGCGTCCCTTTGGCCCTGCCAAGCCTCGAAGAGATTCCTGAGGTGTCCCTCGTTACTAGACAGGAGTCCTGACGTCACTGAAGAAACTCGTGTTTTGAAGGGCCATCCCCGCCGTAAGTCGAGAACATACCCCAGGTCCCCGCCGCAACTCGAGAAAAACCATGAGACTTCCCCCTAGAGGCGAGATGAGGCCCCATTCCCCTGCAGTGCATGCAGAGCTATTCCGTGATCCCATTCAAACAAGTCAGGAGCTTCGGCTTGCTTAATGGATCTCGAGACAGTCCCCAAGAACACTGTCACCAGTCTAGACGGACCCTGAGGTCACCCCAGCAAAGCAAAGCAGTTCCATGTGCCCCAAATCAACTCGAGATGAGGCCCGATTCCCCTGCATTGACTCCAGAGCCATTCCCCGTTCCCCATTCAACACGACCGGTGGCTCGACTTCCTTCAGGCAACTCCAGAGATGCCCCGAGAACACTGTCCCAAGTCTAGAGGAACACCAACTTCAGCACAGCAACTCGAGGAATGCTCCGTGTACCCCAAATCGTCTCGAGATGCGAGCTGATTCCCTGGCTTAGGCTCAAGACGTATGCCAACTTCCCAGAAGCACCTCAGGAGAAGGCTTCTCTCAGCAATAGGTATGTGGGAGGGACCCCGAGTTTGCTGCCTCAAGGGGAATATACAGCGAGAAGCCCTAACTTGAAAGGAGGCCGGATTTCCTTGCAGTGGCTTGAATACAGGCTCGTCTTTCATCTCACAACATGAAGGGATGTCTGAATCCCCTGTGGAGACCTTAGAGAAAGCCCTAGGTCCCTGCCTCATTTTGACGGAATGCCTCACATCCCGCTGACACCTCGAGAGGCACGCGGAGTTCATTGCTTCAAAAGGTGACGATGCCTGACTCCTCTTGAATACTGATAGGAATCCCAAAATCCCTGTGGCTACTGGAAAGGGTCCTTGGGTGCCCTGCCTCACCTCGAGAAGCGTCCCTTTGGCCCTGCCAAGCCTCGAAGAGATTCCTGAGGTGTCCCTCGTTACTAGACAGGAGTCCTGACGTCACTGAAGAAACTCGTGTTTTGAAGGGCCATCCCCGCCGTAAGTCGAGAACATACCCCAGGTCCCCGCCGCAACTCGAGAAAAACCATGAGACTTCCCCCTAGAGGCGAGATGAGGCCCCATTCCCCTGCAGTGCATGCAGAGCTATTCCGTGATCCCATTCAAACAAGTCAGGAGCTTCGACTTGCTTAATGGATCTCGAGACAGTCCCCAAGAACACTGTCACCAGTCTAGACGGACCCTGAGGTCACCCCAGCAACGCAAAGCAGCACCATGTGCCCCAAATCAACTCGAGATGAGGCCCGATTCCCCTGCATTGACTCCAGAGCCATTCCCCGTTCCCCATTCAACACGACCGGTGGCTCGACTTCCTTCAGGCAACTCCAGAGATGCCCCGAGAACACTGTCCCAAGTCTAGAGGAACACCAACTTCAGCACAGCAACTCGAGGAATGCTCCGTGTACCCCAAATCGTCTCGAGATGCGAGCTGATTCCCTGGCTTAGGCTCAAGACGTATGCCAACTTCCCAGAAGCACCTCAGGAGGAGGCTTCTCTCAGCAATAGGTATGTGGGAGGGACCCCGAGTTTGCTGCCTCAAGGGGAATATACAGCGAGAAGCCCTAACTTGAAAGGAGGTCGGATTTCCTTGCAGTGGCTTGAATACAGGCTCGTCTTTCATCTCACAACATGAAGGGATGTCTGAATCCCCTGTGGAGACCTTAGAGAAAGCCCTAGGTCCCTGCCTCATTTTGACGGAATGCCTCACATCCCGCTGACACCTCGAGAGGCACGCGGAGTTCATTGCTTCAAAAGGTGACGATGCCTGACTCCTCTTGAATACTGATAGGAATCCCAAAATCCCTGTGGCTACTGGAAAGGGTCCTTGGGTGCCCTGCCTCACCTCGAGAAGCGTCCCTTTGGCCCTGCCAAGCCTCGAAGAGATTCCTGAGGTGTCCCTCGTTACTAGACAGGAGTCCTGACGTCACTGAAGAAACTCGTGTCTTGAAGGGCCATCCCCGCCGTAAGTCGAGAACATAGCCCAGGTCCCCGCCGCAACTCGAGAAAAACCATGAGACTTCCCCCTAGAGGCGAGATGAGGCCCCATTCCCCTGCAGTGCATGCAGAGCTATTCCGTGATCCCATTCAAACAAGTCAGGAGCTTCGACTTGCTTAATGGATCTCGAGACAGTCCCCAAGAACACTGTCACCAGTCTAGACGGACCCTGAGGTCACCCCAGCAACGCAAAGCAGCTCCATGTGCCCCAAATCAACTCGAGATGAGGCCCGATTCCCCTGCATTGACTCCAGAGCCATTCCCCGTTCCCCATTCAACACGACCGGTGGCTCGACTTCCTTCAGGCAACTCCAGAGATGCCCCGAGAACACTGTCCCAAGTCTAGAGGAACACCAACTTCAGCACAGCAACTCGAGGAATGCTCCGTGTACCCCAAATCGTCTCGAGATGCGAGCTGATTCCCTGGCTTAGGCTCAAGACGTATGCCAACTTCCCAGAAGCACCTCAGGAGGAGGCTTCTCTCAGCAATAGGTATGTGGGAGGGACCCCGAGTTTGCTGCCTCAAGGGGAATATACAGCGAGAAGCCCTAACTTGAAAGGAGGCCGGATTTCCTTGCAGTGGCTTGAATACAGGCTCGTCTTTCATCTCACAACATGAAGGGATGTCTGAATCCCCTGTGGAGACCTTAGAGAAAGCCCTAGGTCCCTGCCTCATTTTGACGGAATGCCTCACATCCCGTTGACACCTCGAGAGGCACGCGGAGTTCATTGCTTCAAAAGGTGACGATGCCTGACTCCTCTTGAATACTGATAGGAATCCCAAAATCCCTGTGGCTACTGGAAAGGGTCCTTGGGTGCCCTGCCTCACCTCGAGAAGCGTCCCTTTGGCCCTGCCAAGCCTCGAAGAGATTCCTGAGGTGTCCCTCGTTACTAGACAGGAGTCCTGACGTCACTGAAGAAACTCGTGTTTTGAAGGGCCATCCCCGCCGTAAGTCGAGAACATACCCCACGTCCCCGCCGCAACTCGAGAAAAACCATGAGACTTCCCCCTAGAGGCGAGATGAGGCCCCATTCCCCTGCAGTGCATGCAGAGCTATTCCGTGATCCCATTCAAACAAGTCAGGAGCTTCGACTTGCTTAATGGATCTCGAGACAGTCCCCAAGAACACTGTCACCAGTCTAGACGGACCCTGAGGTCACCCCAGCAACGCAAAGCAGCTCCATGTGCCCCAAATCAACGCGAGATGAGGCCCGATTCCCCTGCATTGACTCCAGAGCCATTCCCCGTTCCCCATTCAACACGACCGGTGGCTCGACTTCCTTCAGGCAACTCCAGAGATGCCCAGAGAACACTGTCGCAAGTCTAGAGGAACACCAACTTCAGCACAGCAACTCGAGGAATGCTCCGTGTACCCCAAATCGTCTCGAGATGCGAGCTGATTCCCTGGCTTAGGCTCAAGACGTATGCCAACTTCCCAGTAGCACCTCAGGAGGAGGCTTCTCTCAGCAATAGGTATGTGGGAGGGACCCCGAGTTTGCTGCCTCAAGGGGAATATACAGCGAGAAGCCCTAACTTGAATGGAGGCCGGATTTCCTTGCAGTGGCTTGAATACAGGCTCGTCTTTCATGTCACAACATGAAGGGATGTCTGACTCCCCTGTGGAGACCTTAGAGAAAGCTCTAGGTCCCTGCCTCATTTTGACGGAATGCCTCACATCCCGCTGACACCTCGAGAGGCACGCGGAGTTCATTGCTTCAAAAGGTGACGATGCCTGACTCCTCTTGAATACTGATAGGAATCCCAAAATCCCTGTGGCTACTGGAAAGGGTCCTTGGGTGCCCTGCCTCACCTCGAGAAGCGTCCCTTTGGCCCTGCCAAGCCTCGAAGAGATTCCTGAGGTGTCCCTCGTTACTAGACAGGAGTCCTGACGTCACTGAAGAAACTCGTGTTTTGAAGGGCCATCCCCGCCGTAAGTCGAGAACATACCCCAGGTCCCCGCCGCAACTCGAGAAAAACCATGACACTTCCCCCTAGAGGCGAGATGAGGCCCCATTCCCCTGCAGTGCATGCAGAGCTATTCCGTGATCCCATTCAAACAAGTCAGGAGCTTCGACTTGCTTAATGGATCTCGAGACAGTCCCCAAGAACACTGTCACCAGTCTAGACGGACCCTGAGGTCACCCCAGCAACGCAAAGCAGCTCCATGTGCCCCAAATCAACGCGAGATGAGGCCCGATTCCCCTGCATTGACTCCAGAGCCATTCCCCGTTCCCCATTCAACACGACCGGTGGCTCGACTTCCTTCAGGCAACTCCAGAGATGCCCCGAGAACACTGTCCCAAGTCTAGAGGAACACCAACTTCAGCACAGCAACTCGAGGAATGCTCCGTCTACCCCAAATCGTCTCGAGATGCGAGCTGATTCCCTGGCTTAGGCTCAAGACGTATGCCAACTTCCCAGAAGCACCTCAGGAGGAGGCTTCTCTCAGCAATAGGTATGTGGGAGGGACCCCGAGTTTGCTGCCTCAAGGGGAATATACAGCGAGAAGCCCTAACTTGAAAGGAGGCCGGATTTCCTTGCAGTGGCTTGAATACAGGCTCGTCTTTCATCTGACAACATGAAGGGATGTCTGAATCCCCTGTGGAGACCTTAGAGAAAGCCCTAGGTCCCTGCCTCATTTTGACGGAATGCCTCACATCCCGCTGACACCTCGAGAGGCACGCGGAGTTCATTGCTTCAAAAGGTGACGATGCCTGACTCCTCTTGAATACTGATAGGAATCCCAAAATCACTGTGGCTACTGGAAAGGGTCCTTGGGTGCCCTGCCTCACCTCGAGAAGCGTCCCTTTGGCCCTGCCAAGCCTCGAAGAGATTCCTGAGGTGTCCCTCGTTACTAGACAGGAGTCCTGACGTCACTGAAGAAACTCGTGTTTTGAAGTGCCATCCCCGCCGTAAGTCGAGAACATACCCCAGGTCCCCGCCGCAACTCGAGAAAAACCATGAGACTTCCCCCTAGAGGCGAGATGAGGCCCCATTCCCCTGCAGTGCATGCAGAGCTATTCCGTGATCCCATTCAAACAAGTCAGGAGCTTCGGCTTGCTTAATGGATCTCGAGACAGTCCCCAAGAACACTGTCACCAGTCTAGACGGACCCTGAGGTCACCCCAGCAACGCAAAGCAGCTCCATGTGCCCCAAATCAACTCGAGATGAGGCCCGATTCCCCTGCATTGACTCCAGAGCCATTCCCCGTTCCCCATTCAACACGACCGGTGGCTCGACTTCCTTCAGGCAACTCCAGAGATGCCCCGAGAACACTGTCCCAAGACTAGAGGAACACCAACGTCAGCACAGCAACTCGAGGAATGCTCCGTGTACCCCAAATCGTCTCGAGATGCGAGCTGATTCCCTGGCTTAGGCTCAAGACGTATGCCAACTTCCCAGAAGCACCTCAGGAGAAGGCTTCTCTCAGCAATAGGTATGTGGGAGGGACCCCGAGTTTGCTGCCTCAAGGGGAATATACAGCGAGAAGCCCTAACTTGAAAGGAGGCCGGATTTCCTTGCAGTGGCTTGAATACAGGCTCGTCTTTCATCTCACAACATGAAGGGATGTCTGAATCCCCTGTGGAGACCTTAGAGAAAGCCCTAGGTCCCTGCCTCATTTTGACGGAATGCCTCACATCCCGCTGACACCTCGAGAGGCACGCGGAGTTCATTGCTTCAAAAGGTGACGATGCCTGACTCCTCTTGAATACTGATAGGAATCCCAAAATCCCTGTGGCTACTGGAAAGGGTCCTTGGGTGCCCTGCCTCACCTCGAGAAGCGTCCCTTTGGCCCTGCCAAGCCTCGAAGAGATTCCTGAGGTGTCCCTCGTTACTAGACAGGAGTCCTGACGTCACTGAAGAAACTCGTGTTTTGAAGGGCCATCCCCGCCGTAAGTCGAGAACATACCCCAGGTCCCCGCCGCAACTCGAGAAAAACCATGAGACTTCCCCCTAGAGACGAGATGAGGCCCCATTCCCCTGCAGTGCATGCAGAGCTATTCCGTGATCCCATTCAAACAAGTCAGGAGCTTCGACTTGCTTAATGGATCTCGAGACAGTCCCCAAGAACACTGTCACCAGTCTAGACGGACCCTGAGGTCACCCCAGCAACGCAAAGCAGCTCCATGTGCCCCAAATCAACGCGAGATGAGGCCCGATTCCCCTGCATTGACTCCAGAGCCATTCCCCGTTCCCCATTCAACACGACCGGTGGCTCGACTTCCTTCAGGCAACTCCAGAGATGCCCCGAGAACACTGTCCCAAGACTAGAGGAACACCAACTACAGCACAGCAACTCGAGGAATGCTCCGTGTACCCCAAATCGTCTCGAGATGCGAGCTGATTCCCTGGCTTAGGCTCAAGACGTATGCCAACTTCCCAGAAGCACCTCAGGAGGAGGCTTCTCTCAGCAATAGGTATGTGGGAGGGACCCCGAGTTTGCTGCCTCAAGGGGAATATACAGCGAGAAGCCCTAACTTGAAAGGAGGCCGGATTTCCTTGCAGTGGCTTGAATACAGGCTCGTCTTTCATCTCACAACATGAAGGGATGTCTGAATCCCCTGTGGAGACCTTAGAGAAAGCCCTAGGTCCCTGCCTCATTTTGACGGAATGCCTCACATCCCGCTGACACCTCGAGAGGCACGCGGAGTTCATTGCTTCAAAAGGTGACGATGCCTGACTCCTCTTGAATACTGATAGGAATCCCAAAATCCCTGTGGCTACTGGAAAGGGTCCTTGGGTGCCCTGCCTCACCTCGAGAAGCGTCCCTTTGGCCCTGCCAAGCCTCGAAGAGATTCCTGAGGTGTCCCTCGTTACTAGACAGGAGTCCTGACGTCACTGAAGAAACTCGTGTTTTGAAGGGCCATCCCCGCCGTAAGTCGAGAACATACCCCAGGTCCCCGCCGCAACTCGAGAAAAACCATGAGACTTCCCCCTAGAGGCGAGATGAGGCCCCATTCCCCTGCAGTGCATGCAGAGCTATTCCGTGATCCCATTCAAACAAGTCAGGAGCTTCGACTTGCTTAATGGATCTCGAGACAGTCCCCAAGAACACTGTCACCAGTCTAGACGGACCCTGAGGTCACCCCAGCAACGCAAAGCAGCTCCATGTGCCCCAAATCAACGCGAGATGAGGCCCGATTCCCCTGCCTTGACTCCAGAGCCATTCCCCGTTCCCCATTCAACACGACCGGTGGCTCGACTTCCTTCAGGCAACTCCAGAGATGCCCCGAGAACACTGTCCCAAGACTAGAGGTACACCAACTTCAGCACAGCAACTCGAGGAATGCTCCGTGTACCCCAAATCGTCTCGAGATGCGAGCTGATTCCCTGGGTTAGGCTCAAGACGTATGCCAACTTCCAGAAGCACCTCAGGAGGAGGATTCTCTCAGCAATAGGTATGTCCGAGGGACCCCGAGTTTGCTGCCTCAAGGGGAATATACAGCGAGAAGCCCTAACTTGAAAGGAGGCCGGATTTCCTTGCAGTGGCTTGAATACAGGCTCGTCTTTCATCTCACAACATGAAGGGATGTCTGAATCCCCTGTGGAGACCTTAGAGAAAGCTCTAGGTCCCTGCCTCATTTTGACGGAATGCCTCACATCCCGCTGACACCTCGAGAGGCACGCGGAGTTCATTGCTTCAAAAGGTGACGATGCCTGACTCCTCTTGAATACTGATAGGAATCCCAAAATCCCTGTGGCTACTGGAAAGGGTCCTTGGGTGCCCTGCCTCACCTCGAGAAGCGTCCCTTTGGCCCTGCCAAGCCTCGAAGAGATTCCTGAGGTGTCCCTCGTTACTAGACAGGAGTCCTGACGTCACTGAAGAAACTCGTGTTTTGAAGGGCCATCCCCGCCGTAAGTCGAGAACATACCCCAGGTCCCCGCCGCAACTCGAGAAAAACCATGACACTTCCCCCTAGAGGCGAGATGAGGCCCCATTCCCCTGCAGTGCATGCAGAGCTATTCCGTGATCCCATTCAAACAAGTCAGGAGCTTCGACTTGCTTAATGGATCTCGAGACAGTCCCCAAGAACACTGTCACCAGTCTAGACGGACCCTGAGGTCACCCCAGCAACGCAAAGCAGCTCCATGTGCCCCAAATCAACGCGAGATGAGGCCCGATTCCCCTGCATTGACTCCAGAGCCATTCCCGTTCCCCATTCAACACGACCGGTGGCTCGACTTCCTTCAGGCAACTCCAGAGATGCCCCGAGAACACTGTCCCAAGTCTAGAGGAACACCAACTTCAGCACAGCAACTCGAGGAATGCTCCGTCTACCCCAAATCGTCTCGAGATGCGAGCTGATTCCCTGGCTTAGGCTCAAGACGTATGCCAACTTCCCAGAAGCACCTCAGGAGGAGGCTTCTCTCAGCAATAGGTATGTGGGAGGGCCCCCGAGTTTGCTGCCTCAAGGGGAATATACAGCGAGAAGCCCTAACTTGAAAGGAGGCCGGATTTCCTTGCAGTGGCTTGAATACAGGCTCGTCTTTCATCTCACAACATGAAGGGATGTCTGAATCCCCTGTGGAGACCTTAGAGAAAGCCCTAGGTCCCTGCCTCATTTTGACGGAATGCCTCACATCCCGCTGACACCTCGAGAGGCACGCGGAGTTCATTGCTTCAAAAGGTGACGATGCCTGACTCCTCTTGAATACTGATAGGAATCCCAAAATCCCTGTGGCTACTGGAAAGGGTCCTTGGGTGCCCTGCCTCACCTCGAGAAGCGTCCCTTTGGCCCTGCCAAGCCTCGAAGAGATTCCTGAGGTGTCCCTCGTTACTAGACAGGAGTCCTGACGTCACTGAAGAAACTCGTGTTTTGAAGGGCCATCCCCGCCGTAAGTCGAGAACATACCCCAGGTCCCCGCCACAACTCGACAAAAACCATGAGACTTCCCCCTAGAGGCGAGATGAGGCCCCATTCCCCTGCAGTGCATGCAGAGCTATTCCGTGATCCCTTTCAAACAAGTCAGGAGCTTCGACTTGCTTAATGGATCTCGAGACAGTCCCCAAGAACACTGTCACCAGTCTAGACGGACCCTGAGGTCACCCCAGCAACGCAAAGCAGCTCCGTGTGCCCCAAATCAACTCGAGATGAGGCCCGATTCCCCTGCATTGACTCCAGAGCCATTCCCCGTTCCCCATTCAACACGACCGGTGGCTCGACTTCCTTCAGGCAACTCCAGAGATGCCCCGAGAACACTGTCCCAAGTCTAGAGGAACACCAACTTCAGCACAGCAACTCGAGGAATGCTCCGTGTACCCCAAATCGTCTCGAGATGCGAGCTGATTCCCTGGCTTAGGCTCAAGACGTATGCCAACTTCCCAGAAGCACCTCAGGAGGAGGCTTCTCTCAGCAATAGGTATGTGGGAGGGACCCCGAGTTTGCTGCCTCAAGGGGAATATACAGCGAGAAGCCCTAACTTGAAAGGAGGCCGGATTTCCTTGCAGTGGCTTGAATACAGGCTCGTCTTTCATCTCACAACATGAAGGGATGTCTGAATCCCCTGTGGAGACCTTAGAGAAAGCCCTAGGTCCCTGCCTCATTTTGACGGAATGCCTCACATCCCGCTGACACCTCGAGAGGCACGCGGAGTTCATTGCTTCAAAAGGTGACGATGCCTGACTTCTCTTGAATACTGATAGGAATCCCAAAATCCCTGTGGCTACTGGAAAGGGTCCTTGGGTGCCCTGCCTCACCTCGAGAAGCGTCCCTTTGGCCCTGCCAAGCCTCGAAGAGATTCCTGAGGTGTCCCTCGTTACTAGACAGGAGTCCTGACGTCACTGAAGAAACTCGTGTTTTGAAGGGCCATCCCCGCCGTAAGTCGAGAACATACCCCAGGTCCCCGCCGAAATTTCGAGAAAAACCATGAGACTTCCCCCTAGAGGCGAGATGAGGCCCCATTCCCCTGCAGTGCATGCAGAGCTATTCCGTGATCCCATTCAAACAAGTCAGGAGCTTCGACTTGCTTAATGGATCTCGAGACAGTCCCCAAGAACACTGTCACCAGTCTAGACGGACCCTGAGGTCACCCCAGCAACGCAAAGCAGCTCCATGTGCCCCAAATCAACGCGAGATGAGGCCCGATTCCCCTGCATTGACTCCAGAGCCATTCCCCGTTCCCCATTCAACACGACCGGTGGCTCGACTTCCTTCAGGCAACTCCAGAGATGCCCCGAGAACACTGTCCCAAGTCTAGAGGAACACCAACTTCAGCACAGCAACTCGAGGAATGCTCCATCTACCCCAAATCGTCTCGAGATGCGAGCTGATTCCCTGGCTTAGGCTCAAGACGTATGCCAACTTCCCAGAAGCACCACAGGAGGAGGCTTCTCTCAGCAATAGGTATGTGGGAGGGACCCCGAGTTTGCTGCCTCAAGGGGAATATACAGCGAGAAGCCCTAACTTGAAAGGAGGCCGGATTTCCTTGCAGTGGCTTGAATACAGGCTCGTCTTTCATCTCACAACATGAAGGGATGTCTGAATCCCCTGTGGAGACCTTAGAGAAAGCCCTAGGTCCCTGCCTCATTTTGACGGAATGCCTCACATCCCGCTGACACCTCGAGAGGCACGCGGAGTTCATTGCTTCAAAAGGTGACGATGCCTGACTCCTCTTGAATACTGATAGGAATCCCAAAATCCCTGTGGCTACTGGAAAGGGTCCTTGGGTGCCCTGCCTCACCTCGAGAAGCGTCCCTTTGGCCCTGCCAAGCCTCGAAGAGATTCCTGAGGTGTCCCTCGTTACTAGACAGGAGTCCTGACGTCACTGAAGAAACTCGTGTTTTGAAGGGCCATCCCCGCCGTAAGTCGAGAACATACCCCAGGTCCCCGCCGCAACTCGAGAAAAACCATGAGACTTCCCCCTAGAGGCGAGATGAGGCCCCATTCCCCTGCAGTGCATGCAGAGCTATTCCGTGATCCCATTCAAACAAGTCAGGAGCTTCGACTTGCTTAATGGATCTCGAGACAGTCCCCGAGAACACTGTCACCAGTCTAGACGGACCCTGAGGTCACCCCAGCAACGCAAAGCAGCTCCGTGTGCCCCAAATCAACTCGAGATGAGGCCCGATTCCCCTGCATTGACTCCAGAGCCATTCCCCGTTCCCCATTCAACACGACCGGTGGCTCGACTTCCTTCAGGCAACTCCAGAGATGCCCCGAGAACACTGTCCCAAGTCTAGAGGAACACCAACTTCAGCACAGCAACTCGAGGAATGCTCCGTGTACCCCAAATCGTCTCGAGATGCGAGCTGATTCCCTGGCTTAGGCTCAAGACGTATGCCAACTTCCCAGAAGCACCTCAGGAGGAGGCTTCTCTCAGCAATAGGTATGTGGGAGGGACCCCGAGTTTGCTGCCTCAAGGGGAATATACAGCGAGAAGCCCTAACTTGAAAGGAGGCCGGATTTCCTTGCAGTGGCTTGAATACAGGCTCGTCTTTCATCTCACAACATGAAGGGATGTCTGAATCCCCTGTGGAGACCTTAGAGAAAGCCCTAGGTCCCTGCCTCATTTTGACGGAATGCCTCACATCCCGCTGACACCTCGAGAGGCACGCGGAGTTCATTGCTTCAAAAGGTGACGATGCCTGACTTCTCTTGAATACTGATAGGAATCCCAAAATCCCTGTGGCTACTGGAAAGGGTCCTTGGGTGCCCTGCCTCACCTCGAGAAGCGTCCCTTTGGCCCTGCCAAGCCTCGAAGAGATTCCTGAGGTGTCCCTCGTTACTAGACAGGAGTCCTGACGTCACTGAAGAAACTCGTGTTTTGAAGGGCCATCCCCGCCGTAAGTCGAGAACATACCCCAGGTCCCCGCCGCAACTCGAGAAAAACCATGAGACTTCCCCCTAGAGGCGAGATGAGGCCCCATTCCCCTGCAGTGCATGCAGAGCTATTCCGTGATCCCATTCAAACAAGTCAGGAGCTTCGACTTGCTTAATGGATCTCGAGACAGTCCCCAAGAACACTGTCACCAGTCTAGACGGACCCTGAGGTCACCCCAGCAACGCAAAGCAGCTCCATGTGCCCCAAATCAACGCGAGATGAGGCCCGATTCCCCTGCATTGACTCCAGAGCCATTCCCCGTTCCCCATTCAACACGACCGGTGGCTCGACTTCCTTCAGGCAACTCCAGAGATGCCCCGAGAACACTGTCCCAAGTCTAGAGGAACACCAACTTCAGCACAGCAACTCGAGGAATGCTCCATCTACCCCAAATCGTCTCGAGATGCGAGCTGATTCCCTGGCTTAGGCTCAAGACGTATGCCAACTTCCCAGAAGCACCACAGGAGGAGGCTTCTCTCAGCAATAGGTATGTGGGAGGGACCCCGAGTTTGCTGCCTCAAGGGGAATATACAGCGAGAAGCCCTAACTTGAAAGGAGGCCGGATTTCCTTGCAGTGGCTTGAATACAGGCTCGTCTTTCATCTCACAACATGAAGGGATGTCTGAATCCCCTGTGGAGACCTTAGAGAAAGCCCTAGGTCCCTGCCTCATTTTGACGGAATGCCTCACATCCCGCTGACACCTCGAGAGGCACGCGGAGTTCATTGCTTCAAAAGGTGACGATGCCTGACTCCTCTTGAATACTGATAGGAATCCCAAAATCCCTGTGGCTACTGGAAAGGGTCCTTGGGTGCCCTGCCTCACCTCGAGAAGCGTCCCTTTGGCCCTGCCAAGCCTCGAAGAGATTCCTGAGGTGTCCCTCGTTACTAGACAGGAGTCCTGACGTCACTGAAGAAACTCGTGTTTTGAAGGGCCATCCCCGCCGTAAGTCGAGAACATAGCCCAGGTCCCCGCCGCAACTCGAGAAAAACCATGAGACTTCCCCCTAGAGGCGAGATGAGGCCCCATTCCCCTGCAGTGCATGCAGAGCTATTCCGTGATCCCATTCAAACAAGTCAGGAGCTTCGACTTGCTTAATGGATCTCGAGACAGTCCCCAAGAACACTGTCACCAGTCTAGGCGGACCCTGAGGTCACCCCAGCAACGAAAAGCAGCTCCATGTGCCCCAAATCAACTCGAGATGAGGCCCGATTCCCCTGCATTGACTCCAGAGCCATTCCCCGTTCCCCATTCAACACGACCGGTGGCTCGACTTCCTTCAGGCAACTCCAGAGATGCCCCGAGAACACTGTCCCAAGTCTAGAGGAACACCAACTTCAGCACAGCAACTCGAGGAATGCTCCGTGTACCCCAAATCGTCTCGAGATGCGAGCTGATTCCCTGGCTTAGGCTCAAGACGTATGCCAACTTCCCAGAAGCACCTCAGGAGGAGGCTTCTCTCAGCAATAGGTATGTGGGAGGGACCCCGAGTTTGCTGCCTCAAGGGGAATATACAGCGAGAAGCCCTAACTTGAAAGGAGGCCGGATTTCCTTGCAGTGGCTTGAATACAGGCTCGTCTTTCATCTCACAACATGAAGGGATGTCTGAATCCCCTGTGGAGACCTTAGAGAAAGCCCTAGGTCCCTGCCTCATTTTGACGGAATGCCTCACATCCCGCTGACACCTCGAGAGGCACGCGGAGTTCATTGCTTCAAAAGGTGACGATGCCTGACTTCTCTTGAATACTGATAGGAATCCCAAAATCCCTGTGGCTACTGGAAAGGGTCCTTGGGTGCCCTGCCTCACCTCGAGAAGCGTCCCTTTGGCCCTGCCAAGCCTCGAAGAGATTCCTGAGGTGTCCCTTGTTACTAGACAGGAGTCCTGACGTCACTGAAGAAACTCGTGTTTTGAAGGGCCATCCCCGCCGTAAGTCGAGAACATACCCCAGGTCCCCGCCGCAACTCGAGAAAAACCATGAGACTTCCCCCTAGAGGCGAGATGAGGCCCCATTCCCCTGCAGTGCATGCAGAGCTATTCCGTGATCCCATTCAAACAAGTCAGGAGCTTCGACTTGCTTAATGGATCTCGAGACAGTCCCCAAGAACACTGTCACCAGTCTAGACGGACCCTGAGGTCACCCCAGCAACGCAAAGCAGCTCCATGTGCCCCAAATCAACGCGAGATGAGGCCCGATTCCCCTGCATTGACTCCAGAGCCATTCCCCGTTCCCCATTCAACACGACCGGTGGCTCGACTTCCTTCAGGCAACTCCAGAGATGCCCCGAGAACACTGTCCCAAGTCTAGAGGAACACCAACTTCAGCACAGCAACTCGAGGAATGCTCCATCTACCCCAAATCGTCTCGAGATGCGAGCTGATTCCCTGGCTTAGGCTCAAGACGTATGCCAACTTCCCAGAAGCACCACAGGAGGAGGCTTCTCTCAGCAATAGGTATGTGGGAGGGACCCCGAGTTTGCTGCCTCAAGGGGAATATACAGCGAGAAGCCCTAACTTGAAAGGAGGCCGGATTTCCTTGCAGTGGCTTGAATACAGGCTCGTCTTTCATCTCACAACATGAAGGGATGTCTGAATCCCCTGTGGAGACCTTAGAGAAAGCCCTAGGTCCCTGCCTCATTTTGACGGAATGCCTCACATCCCGCTGACACCTCGAGAGGCACGCGGAGTTCATTGCTTCAAAAGGTGACGATGCCTGACTCCTCTTGAATACTGATAGGAATCCCAAAATCCCTGTGGCTACTGGAAAGGGTCCTTGGGTGCCCTGCCTCACCTCGAGAAGCGTCCCTTTGGCCCTGCCAAGCCTCGACGAGATTCCTGAGGTGTCCCTCGTTACTAGACAGGAGTCCTGACGTCACTGAAGAAACTCGTGTTTTGAAGGGCCATCCCCGCCGTAAGTCGAGAACATACCCCAGGTCCCCGCCGCAACTCGAGAAAAACCATGAGACTTCCCCCTAGAGGCGAGATGAGGCCCCATTCCCCTGCAGTGCATGCAGAGCTATTCCGTGATCCCATTCAAACAAGTCAGGAGCTTCGACTTGCTTAATGGATCTCGAGACAGTCCCCAAGAACACTGTCACCAGTCTAGACGGACCCTGAGGTCACCCCAGCAACGCAAAGCAGCTCCATGTGCCCCAAATCAACTCGAGATGAGGCCCGATTCCCCTGCATTGACTCCAGAGCCATTCCCCGTTCCCCATTCAACACGACCGGTGGCTCGACTTCCTTCAGGCAACTCCAGAGATGCCCCGAGAACACTGTCCCAAGTCTAGAGGAACACCAACTTCAGCACAGCAACTCGAGGAATGCTCCGTGTACCCCAAATCGTCTCGAGATGCGAGCTGATTCCCTGGCTTAGGCTCAAGACGTATGCCATCTTCCCAGAAGCACCTCAGGAGGAGGCTTCTCTCAGCAATAGGTATGTGGGAGGGACCCCGAGTTTGCTGCCTCAAGGGGAATATACAGCGAGAAGCCCTAACTTGAAAGGAGGCCGGATTTCCTTGCAGTGGCTTGAATACAGGCTCGTCTTTCATCTCACAACATGAAGGGATGTCTGAATCCCCTGTGGAGACCTTAGAGAAAGCCCTAGGTCCCTGCCTCATTTTGACGGAATGCCTCACATCCCGCTGACACCTCGAGAGGCACGCGGAGTTCATTGCTTCAAAAGGTGACGATGCCTGACTCCTCTTGAATACTGATAGGAATCCCAAAATCCCTGTGGCTACTGGAAAGGGTCCTTGGGTGCCCTGCCTCACCTCGAGAAGCGTCCCTTTGGCCCTGCCAAGCCTCGAAGAGATTCCTGAGGTGTCCCTCGTTACTAGACAGGAGTCCTGACGTCACTGAAGAAACTCGTGTTTTGAAGGGCCATCCCCGCCGTAAGTCGAGAACATACCCCAGGTCCCCGCCGCAACTCGAGAAAAACCATGAGACTTCCCCCTAGAGGCGAGATGAGGCCCCATTCCCCTGCAGTGCATGCAGAGCTATTCCGTGATCCCATTCAAACAAGTCAGGAGCTTCGACTTGCTTAATGGATCTCGAGACAGTCCCCAAGAACACTGTCACCAGTCTAGACGGACCCTGAGGTCACCCCAGCAACGCAAAGCAGCTCCGTGTGCCCCAAATCAACTCGAGATGAGGCCCGATTCCCCTGCATTGACTCCAGAGCCATTCCCCGTTCCCCATTCAACACGACCGGTGGCTCGACTTCCTTCAGGCAACTCCAGAGATGCCCCGAGAACACTGTCCCAAGTCTAGAGGAACACCAACTTCAGCACAGCAACGCGAGGAATGCTCCGTGTACCCCAAATCGTCTCGAGATGCGAGCTGATTCCCTGGCTTAGGCTCAAGACGTATGCCAACTTCCCAGAAGCACCTCCGGAGGAGGCTTCTCTCAGCAATAGGTATGTGGGAGGGACCCCGAGTTTGCTGCCTCAAGGGGAATATACAGCGAGAAGCCCTAACTTGAAAGGAGGCCGGATTTCCTTGCAGTGGCTTGAATACAGGCTCGTCTTTCATCTCACAACATGAAGGGATGTCTGAATCCCCTGTGGAGACCTTAGAGAAAGCCCTAGGTCCCTGCCTCATTTTGACGGAATGCCTCACATCCCGCTGACACCTCGAGAGGCACGCGGAGTTCATTGCTTCAAAAGGTGACGATGCCTGACTCCTCTTGAATACTGATAGGAATCCCAAAATCCCTGTGGCTACTGGAAAGGGTCCTTGGGTGCCCTGCCTCACCTCGAGAAGCGTCCCTTTGGCCCTGCCAAGCCTCGAAGAGATTCCTGAGGTGTCCCTCGTTACTAGACAGGAGTCCTGACGTCACTGAAGAAACTCGTGTTTTGAAGGGCCATCCCCGCCGTAAGTCGAGAACATACCCCAGGTCCCCGCCGCAACTCGAGAAAAACCATGAGACTTCCCCCTAGAGGCGAGATGAGGCCCCATTCCCCTGCAGTGCATGCAGAGCTATTCCGTGATCCCATTCAAACAAGTCAGGAGCTTCGACTTGCTTAATGGATCTCGAGACAGTCCCCAAGAACACTGTCACCAGTCTAGACGGACCCTGAGGTCACCCCAGCAACGCAAAGCAGCTCCATGTGCCCCAAATCAACTCGAGATGAGGCCCGATTCCCCTGCATTGACTCCAGAGCCATTCCCCGTTCCCCATTCAACACGACCGGTGGCTCGACTTCCTTCAGGCAACTCCAGAGATGCCCCGAGAACACTGTCCCAAGTCTAGAGGAACACCAACTTCAGCACAGCAACTCGAGGAATGCTCCGTCTACCCCAAATCGTCTCGAGATGCGAGCTGATTCCCTGGCTTAGGCTCAAGACGTATGCCAACTTCCCAGAAGCACCTCAGGAGGAGGCTTCTCTCAGCAATAGGTATGTGGGAGGGACCCCGAGTTTGCTGCCTCAAGGGGAATATACAGCGAGAAGCCCTAACTTGAAAGGAGGCCGGATTTCCTGGCAGTGGCTTGAATACAGGCTCGTCTTTCATCTCACAACATGAAGGGATGTCTGAATCCCCTGTGGAGACCTTAGAGAAAGCCCTAGGTCCCTGCCTCATTTTGACGGAATGCCTCACATCCCGCTGACACCTCGAGAGGCACGCGGAGTTCATTGCTTCAAAAGGTGACGATGCCTGACTCCTCTTGAATACTGATAGGAATCCCAAAATCCCTGTGGCTACTGGAAAGGGTCCTTGGGTGCCCTGCCTCACCTCGAGAAGCGTCCCTTTGGCCCTGCCAAGCCTCGAAGAGATTCCTGAGGTGTCCCTCGTTACTAGACAGGAGTCCTGACGTCACTGAAGAAACTCGTGTTTTGAAGGGCCATCCCCGCCGTAAGTCGAGAACATACCCCAGGTCCCCGCCGCAACTCGAGAAAAACCATGAGACTTCCCCCTAGAGGCGAGATGAGGCCCCATTCCCCTGCAGTGCATGCAGAGCTATTCCGTGATCCCATTCAAACAAGTCAGGAGCTTCGACTTGCTTAATGGATCTCGAGACAGTCCCCAAGAACACTGTCACCAGTCTAGACGGACCCTGAGGTCACCCCAGCAACGCAAAGCAGCTCCATGTGCCCCAAATCAACTCGAGATGAGGCCCGATTCCCCTGCATTGACTCCAGAGCCATTCCCCGTTCCCCATTCAACACGACCGGTGGCTCGACTTCCTTCAGGCAACTCCAGAGATGCCCCGAGAACACTGTCCCAAGTCTAGAGGAACACCAACTTCAGCACAGCAACTCGAGGAATGCTCCGTGTACCCCAAATCGTCTCGAGATGCGAGCTGATTCCCTGGCTTAGGCTCAAGACGTATGCCAACTTCCCAGAAGCACCTCAGGAGGAGGCTTCTCTCAGCAATAGGTATGTGGGAGGGACCCCGAGTTTGCTGCCTCAAGGGGAATATACAGCGAGAAGCCCTAACTTGAAAGGAGGCCGGATTTCCTTGCAGTGGCTTGAATACAGGCTCGTCTTTCATCTCACAACATGAAGGGATGTCTGAATCCCCTGTGGAGACCTTAGAGAAAGCCCTAGGTCCCTGCCTCATTTTGACGGAATGCCTCACATCCCGCTGACACCTCGAGAGGCACGCGGAGTTCATTGCTTCAAAAGGTGACGATGCCTGACTCCTCTTGAATACTGATAGGAATCCCAAAATCCCTGTGGCTACTGGAAAGGGTCCTTGGGTGCCCTGCCTCACCTCGAGAAGCGTCCCTTTGGCCCTGCCAAGCCTCGAAGAGATTCCTGAGGTGTCCCTCGTTACTAGACAGGAGTCCTGACGTCACTGAAGAAACTCGTGTTTTGAAGGGCCATCCCCGCCGTAAGTCGAGAACATACCCCAGGTCCCCGCCGCAACTCGAGAAAAACCATGAGACTTCCCCCTAGAGGCGAGATGAGGCCCCATTCCCCTGCAGTGCATGCAGAGCTATTCCGTGATCCCATTCAAACAAGTCAGGAGCTTCGACTTGCTTAATGGATCTCGAGACAGTCCCCAAGAACACTGTCACCAGTCTAGACGGACCCTGAGGTCACCCCAGCAACGCAAAGCAGCTCCATGTGCCCCAAATCAACTCGAGATGAGGCCCGATTCCCCTGCATTGACTCCAGAGCCATTCCCCGTTCCCCATTCAACACGACCGGTGGCTCGACTTCCTTCAGGCAACTCCAGAGATGCCCCGAGAACACTGTCCCAAGTCTAGAGGAACACCAACTTCAGCACAGCAACTCGAGGAATGCTCCGTGTACCCCAAATCGTCTCGAGATGAGAGCTGATTCCCTGGCTTAGGCTCAAGACGTATGCCAACTTCCCAGAAGCACCTCAGGAGGAGGCTTCTCTCAGCAATAGGTATGTGGGAGGGACCCCGAGTTTGCTGCCTCAAGGGGAATATACAGCGAGAAGCCCTAACTTGAAAGGAGGCCGGATTTCCTTGCAGTGGCTTGAATACAGGCTCGTCTTTCATCTCACAACATGAAGGGATGTCTGAATCCCCTGTGGAGACCTTAGAGAAAGCCCTAGGTCCCTGCCTCATTTTGACGGAATGCCTCACATCCCGCTGACACCTCGAGAGGCACGCGGAGTTCATTGCTTCAAAAGGTGACGATGCCTGACTCCTCTTGAATACTGAAAGGAATCCCAAAATCCCTGTGGCTACTGGAAAGGGTCCTTGGGTGCCCTGCCTCACCTCGAGAAGCGTCCCTTTGGCCCTGCCAAGCCTCGAAGAGATTCCTGAGGTGTCCCTCGTTACTAGACAGGAGTCCTGACGTCACTGAAGAAACTCGTGTTTTGAAGGGCCATCCCCGCCGTAAGTCGAGAACATAGCCCAGGTCCCCGCCGCAACTCGAGAAAAACCATGAGACTTCCCCCTAGAGGCGAGATGAGGCCCCATTCCCCTGCAGTGCATGCAGAGCTATTCCGTGATCCCATTCAAACAAGTCAGGAGCTTCGACTTGCTTAATGGATCTCGAGACAGTCCCCAAGAACACTGTCACCAGTCTAGACGGACCCTGAGGTCACCCCAGCAACGCAAAGCAGCTCCATGTGCCCCAAATCAACTCGAGATGAGGCCCGATTCCCCTGCATTGACTCCAGAGCCATTCCCCGTTCCCCATTCAACACGACCGGTGGCTCGACTTCCTTCAGGCAACTCCAGAGATGCCCCGAGAACACTGTCCCAAGTCTAGAGGAACACCAACTTCAGCACAGCAACTCGAGGAATGCTCCGTGTACCCCAAATCATCTCGAGATGCGAGCTGATTCCCTGGCATAGGCTCAAGACGTATGCCAACTTCCCAGAAGCACCTCAGGAGGAGGCTTCTCTCAGCAATAGGTATGTGGGAGGGACCCCGAGTTTGCTGCCTCAAGGGGAATATACAGCGAGAAGCCCTAACTTGAAAGGAGGCCGGATTTCCTTGCAGTGGCTTGAATACAGGCTCGTCTTTCATCTCACAACATGAAGGGATGTCTGAATCCCCTGTGGAGACCTTAGAGAAAGCCCTAGGTCCCTGCCTCATTTTGACGGAATGCCTCACAACCCGCTGACACCTCGAGAGGCACGCGGAGTTCATTGCTTCAAAAGGTGACGATGCCTGACTCCTCTTGAATACTGATAGGAATCCCAAAATCCCTGTGGCTACTGGAAAGGGTCCTTGGGTGCCCTGCCTCACCTCGAGAAGCGGCCCTTTGGCCCTGCCAAGCCTCGAAGAGATTCCTGAGGTGTCCCTCGTTACTAGACAGGAGTCCTGACGTCACTGAAGAAACTCGTGTTTTGAAGGGCCATCCCCGCCGTAAGTCGAGAACATACCCCAGGTCCCCGCCGCAACTCGAGAAAAACCATGAGACTTCCCCCTAGAGGCGAGATGAGGCCCCATTCCCCTGCAGTGCATGCAGAGCTATTCCGTGATCCCATTCAAACAAGTCAGGAGCTTCGACTTGCTTAATGGATCTCGAGACAGTCCCCAAGAACACTGTCACCAGTCTAGACGGACCCTGAGGTCACCCCAGCAACGCAAAGCAGCTTCATGTGCCCCAAATCAACTCGAGACGAGGCCCGATTCCCCTGCATTGACTCCAGAGCCATTCCCCGTTCCCCATTCAACACGACCGGTGGCTCGACTTCCTTCAGGCAACTCCAGAGATGCCCCGAGAACACTGTCCCAAGTCTAGAGGAACACCAACTTCAGCACAGCAACTCGAGGAATGCTCCGTGTACCCCAAATCGTCTCGAGATGAGAGCTGATTCCCTGGCTTAGGCTCAAGACGTATGCCAACTTCCCAGAAGCACCTCAGGAGGAGGCTTCTCTCAGCAATAGGTATGTGCGAGGGACCCCGAGTTTGCTGCCTCAAGGGGAATATACAGCGAGAAGCCCTAACTTGAAAGGAGGCCGGATTTCCTTGCAGTGGCTTGAATACAGGCTCGTCTTTCATCTCACAACATGAAGGGATGTCTGAATCCCCTGTGGAGACCTTAGAGAAAGCCCTAGGTCCCTGCCTCATTTTGACGGAATGCCTCACATCCCGCTGACACCTCGAGAGGCACGCGGAGTTCATTACTTCAAAAGGTGACGATGCCTGACTCCTCTTGAATACTGATAGGAATCCCAAAATCCCTGTGGCTACTGGAAAGGGTCCTTGGGTGCCCTGCCTCACCTCGAGAAGCGTCCCTTTGGCCCTGTCAAGACTCGAAGAGATTCCTGAGGTGTCCCTCGTTACTAGACAGGAGTCCTGACGTCACTGAAGAAACTCGTGTTTTGAAGGGCCATCCCCGCCGTAAGTCGAGAACATACCAAAGGTCCCCGCCGCAACTCGAGAAAAACCATGAGACTTCCCCCTAGAGGCGAGATGAGGCCCCATTCCCCTGCAGTGCATGCAGAGCTATTCCGTGATCCCATTCAAACAAGTCAGGAGCTTCGACTTGCTTAATGGATCTCGAGACAGTCCCCAAGAACACTGTCACCAGTCTAGACGGACCCTGAGGTCACCCCAGCAACGCAAAGCAGCTCCATGTGCCCCAAATCAACTCGAGATGAGGCCCGATTCCCCTGCATTGACTCCAGAGCCATTCCCCGTTCCCCATTCAACACGACCGGTGGCTCGACTTCCTTCAGGCAACTCCAGAGATGCCCCGAGAACACTGTCCCAAGTCTAGAGGAACACCAACTTCAGCACAGCAACTCGAGGAATGCTCCGTCTACCCCAAATCGTCTCGAGATGCGAGCTGATTCCCTGGCTTAGGCTCAAGACGTATGCCAACTTCCCAGAAGCACCTCAGGAGGAGGCTTCTCTCAGCAATAGGTATGTGGGAGGGACCCCGAGTTTGCTGCCTCAAGGGGAATATACAGCGAGAAGCCCTAACTTGAAAGGAGGCCGGATTTCCTTGCAGTGGCTTGAATACAGGCTCGTCTTTCATCTCACAACATGAAGGGATGTCTGAATCCCCTGTGGAGACCTTAGAGAAAGCCCTAGGTCCCTGCCTCATTTTGACGGAATGCCTCACATCCCGCTGACACCTCGAGAGGCACGCGGAGTTCATTGCTTCAAAAGGTGACGATGCCTGACTCCTCTTGAATACTGATAGGAATCCCAAAATCCCTGTGGCTACTGGAAAGGGTCCTTGGGTGCCCTGCCTCACCTCGAGAAGCGTCCCTTTGGCCCTGCCAAGCCTCGAAGAGATTCCTGAGGTGTCCCTCGTTACTAGACAGGAGTCCTGACGTCACTGAAGAAACTCGTGTTTTGAAGGGCCATCCCCGCCGTAAGTCGAGAACATACCCCAGGTCCCCGCCGCAACTCGAGAAAAACCATGAGACTTCCCCCTAGAGGCAAGATGAGGCCCCATTCCCCTGCAGTGCATGCAGAGCTATTCTGTGATCCCATTCAAACAAGTCAGGAGCTTCGACTTGCTTAATGGATCTCGAGACAGTCCCCAAGAACACTGTCACCAGTCTAGACGGACCCTGAGGTCACCCCAGCAACGCAAAGCAGCTCCATGTGCCCCAAATCAACTCGAGACGAGGCCCGATTCCCCTGCATTGACTCCAGAGCCATTCCCCGTTCCCCATTCAACACGACCGGTGGCTCGACTTCCTTCAGGCAACTCCAGAGATGCCCCGAGAACACTGTCCCAAGTCTAGAGGAACACCAACTTCAGCACAGCAACTCGAGGAATGCTCCGTGTACCACAAATCGTCTCGAGATGCGAGCTGATTCCCTGGCTTAGGCTCAAGACGTATGCCAACTTCCCAGAAGCACCTCAGGAGGAGGCTTCTCTCAGCAATAGGTATGTGCGAGGGACCCCGAGTTTGCTGCCTCAAGGGGAATATACAGCGAGAAGCCCTAACTTGAAAGGAGGCCGGATTTCCTTGCAGTGGCTTGAATACAGGCTCGTCTTTCATCTCACAACATGAAGGGATGTCTGAATCCCCTGTGGAGACCTTAGAGAAAGCCCTAGGTCCCTGCCTCATTTTGACGGAATGCCTCACATCCCGCTGACACCTCGAGAGGCACGCGGAGTTCATTGCTTCAAAAGGTGACGATGCCTGACTCCTCTTGAATACTGATAGGAATCCCAAAATCCCTGTGGCTACTGGAAAGGGTCCTTGGGTGCCCTGCCTCACCTCGAGAAGCGTCCCTTTGGCCCTGCCAAGCCTCGAAGAGATTCCTGAGGTGTCCCTCGTTACTAGACAGGAGTCCTGACGTCACTGAAGAAACTCGTGTTTTGAAGGGCCATCCCCGCCGTAAGTCGAGAACATAGCCCAGGTCCCCGCCGCAACTCGACAAAAACCATGAGACTTCCCCCTAGAGGCGAGATGAGGCCCCATTCCCCTGCAGTGCATGCAGAGCTATTCCGTGATCCCATTCAAACAAGTCAGGAGCTTCGACTTGCTTAATGGATCTCGAGACAGTCCCCAAGAACACTGTCACCAGTCTAGACGGACCCTGAGGTCACCCCAGCAACGCAAAGCAGCTCCATGTGCCCCAGATCAACTCGAGATGAGGCCCGATTCCCCTGCATTGACTCCAGAGCCATTCCCCGTTCCCCATTCAACACGACCGGTGGCTCGACTTCCTTCAGGCAACTCCAGAGATGCCCCGAGAACACTGTCCCAAGTCTAGAGGAACACCAACTTCAGCACAGCAACTCGAGGAATGCTCCGTCTACCCCAAATCGTCTCGAGATGCGAGCTGATTCCCTGGCTTAGGCTCAAGACGTATGCCAACTTCCCAGAAGCACCTCAGGAGGAGGCTTCTCTCAGCAATAGGTATGTGGGAGGGACCCCGAGTTTGCTGCCTCAAGGGGAATATACAGCGAGAAGCCCTAACTTGAAAGGAGGCCGGATTTCCTTGCAGTGGCTTGAATACAGGCTCGTCTTTCATCTCACAACATGAAGGGATGTCTGAATCCCCTGTGGAGACCTTAGAGAAAGCCCTAGGTCCCTGCCTCATTTTGACGGAATGCCTCACATCCCGCTGACACCTCGAGAGGCACGCGGAGTTCATTGCTTCAAAAGGTGACGATGCCTGACTCCTCTTGAATACTGATAGGAATCCCAAAATCCCTGTGGCTACTGGAAAGGGTCCTTGGGTGCCCTGCCTCACCTCGAGAAGCGTCCCTTTGGCCCTGCCAAGCCTCGAAGAGATTCCTGAGGTGTCCCTCGTTACTAGACAGGAGTCCTGACGTCACTGAAGAAACTCGTGTTTTGAAGGGCCATCCCCGCCGTAAGTCGAGAACATAGCCCAGGTCCCCGCCGCAACTCGAGAAAAACCATGAGACTTCCCCCTAGAGGCGAGATGAGGCCCCATTCCCCTGCAGTGCATGCAGAGCTATTCCGTGATCCCATTCAAACAAGTCAGGAGCTTCGACTTGCTTAATGGATCTCGAGACAGTCCCCAAGAACACTGTCACCAGTCTAGACGGACCCTGAGGTCACCCCAGCAACGCAAAGCAGCTCCATGTGCCCCAAATCAACTCGAGATGAGGCCCGATTCCCCTGCATTGACTCCAGAGCCATTCCCCGTTCCCCATTCAACACGACCGGTGGCTCGACTTCCTTCAGGCAACTCCAGAGATGCCCCGAGAACACTGTCCCAAGTCTAGAGGAACACCAACTTCAGCACAGCAACTCGAGGAATGCTCCGTCTACCCCAAATCGTCTCGAGATGCGAGCTGATTCCCTGGCTTAGGCTCAAGACGTATGCCAACTTCCCAGAAGCACCTCAGGAGGAGGCTTCTCTCAGCAATAGGTATGTGGGATGGACCCCGAGTTTGCTGCCTCAAGGGGAATATACAGCGAGAAGCCCTAACTTGAAAGGAGGCCGGATTTCCTTGCAGTGGCTTGAATACAGGCTCGTCTTTCATCTCACAACATGAAGGGATGTCTGAATCCCCTGTGGAGACCTTAGAGAAAGCCCTAGGTCCCTGCCTCATTTTGACGGAATGCCTCACATCCCGCTGACACCTCGAGAGGCAGGCGGAGTTCATTGCTTCAAAAGGTGACGATGCCTGACTCCTCTTGAATACTGATAGGAATCCCAAAATCCCTGTGGCTACTGGAAAGGGTCCTTGGGTGCCCTGCCTCACCTCGAGAAGCGTCCCTTTGGCCCTGCCAAGCCTCGAAGAGATTCCTGAGGTGTCCCTCGTTACTAGACAGGAGTCCTGACGTCACTGAAGAAACTCGTGTTTTGAAGGGCCATCCCCGCCGTAAGTCGAGAACATAGCCCAGGTCCCCGCCGCAACTCGAGAAAAACCATGAGACTTCCCCCTAGAGGCGAGATGAGGCCCCATTCCCCTGCAGTGCATGCAGAGCTATTCCGTGATCCCATTCAAACAAGTCAGGAGCTTCGACTTGCTTAATGGATCTCGAGACAGTCCCCAAGAACACTGTCACCAGTCTAGACGGACCCTGAGGTCACCCCAGCAACGCAAAGCAGCTCCATGTGCCCCAAATCAACTCGAGATGAGGCCCGATTCCCCTGCATTGACTCCAGAGCCATTCCCCGTTCCCCATTCAACACGACCGGTGGCTCGACTTCCTTCAGGCAACTCCAGAGATGCCCCGAGAACACTGTCCCAAGTCTAGAGGAACACCAACTTCAGCACAGCAACTCGAGGAATGCTCCGTCTACCCCAAATCGTCTCGAGATGCGAGCTGATTCCCTGGCTTAGGCTCAAGACGTATGCCAACTTCCCAGAAGCACCTCAGGAGGAGGCTTCTCTCAGCAATAGGTATGTGCGAGGGACCCCGAGTTTGCTGCCTCAAGGGGAATATACAGCGAGAAGCCCTAACTTGAAAGGAGGCCGGATTTCCTTGCAGTGGCTTGAATACAGGCTCGTCTTTCATCTCACAACATGAAGGGATGTCTGAATCCCCTGTGGAGACCTTAGAGAAAGCCCTAGGTCCCTGCCTCATTTTGACGGAATGCCTCACATCCCGCTGACACCTCGAGAGGCACGCGGAGTTCATTGCTTCAAAAGGTGACGATGCCTGACTCCTCTTGAATACTGATAGGAATCCCAAAATCCCTGTGGCTACTGGAAAGGGTCCTTGGGTGCCCTGCCTCACCTCGAGAAGCGTCCCTTTGGCCCTGCCAAGCCTCGAAGAGATTCCTGAGGTGTCCCTCGTTACTAGACAGGAGTCCTGATGTCACTGAAGAAACTCGTGTTTTGAAGGGCCATCCCCGCCGTAAGTCGAGAACATAGCCCAGGTCCCTGCCGCAACTCGAGAAAAACCATGAGACTTCCCCCTAGAGGCGAGATGAGGCCCCATTCCCCTGCAGTGCATGCAGAGCTATTCCGTGATCCCATTCAAACAAGTCAGGAGCTTCGACTTGCTTAATGGATCTCGAGACAGTCCCCAAGAACACTGTCACCAGTCTAGACGGACCCTGAGGTCACCCCAGCAACGCAAAGCAGCTCCATGTGCCCCAAATCAACTCGAGATGAGGCCCGATTCCCCTGCATTGACTCCAGAGCCATTCCCCGTTCCCCATTCAACACGACCGGTGGCTCGACTTCCTTCAGGCAACTCCAGAGATGCCCCGAGAACACTGTCCCAAGTCTAGAAGAACACCAACTTCAGCACAGCAACTCGAGGAATGCTCCGTCTACCCCAAATCGTCTCGAGATGCGAGCTGATTCCCTGGCTTAGGCTCAAGACGTATGCCAACTTCCCAGAAGCACCTCAGGAGGAGGCTTCTCTCAGCAATAGGTATGTGCGAGGGACCCCGAGTTTGCTGCCTCAAGGGGAATATACAGCGAGAAGCCCTAACTTGAAAGGAGGCCGGATTTCCTTGCAGTGGCTTGAATACAGGCTCGTCTTTCATCTCACAACATGAAGGGATGTCTGAATCCCCTGTGGAGACCTTAGAGAAAGCCCTAGGTCCCTGCCTCATTTTGACGGAATGCCTCACATCCCGCTGACACCTCGAGAGGCAGGCGGAGTTCATTGCTTCAAAAGGTGACGATGCCTGACTCCTCTTGAATACTGATAGGAATCCCAAAATCCCTGTGGCTACTGGAAAGGGTCCTTGGGTGCCCTGCCTCACCTCGAGAAGCGTCCCTTTGGCCCTGCCAAGCCTCGAAGAGATTCCTGAGGTGTCCCTCGTTACTAGACAGGAGTCCTGACGTCACTGAAGAAACTCGTGTTTTGAAGGGCCATCCCCGCCGTAAGTCGAGAACATAGCCCAGGTCCCCGCCGCAACTCGAGAAAAACCATGAGACTTCCCCCTAGAGGCGAGATGAGGCCCCATTCCCCTGCAGTGCATGCAGAGCTATTCCGTGATCCCATTCAAACAAGTCAGGAGCTTCGACTTGCTTAATGGATCTCGAGACAGTCCCCAAGAACACTGTCACCAGTCTAGACGGACCCTGAGGTCACCCCAGCAACGCAAAGCAGCTCCATGTGCCCCAGATCAACTCGAGATGAGGCCCGATTCCCCTGCATTGACTCCAGAGCCATTCCCCGTTCCCCATTCAACACGACCGGTGGCTCGACTTCCTTCAGGCAACTCCAGAGATGCCCCGAGAACACTGTCCCAAGTCTAGAGGAACACCAACTTCAGCACAGCAACTCGAGGAATGCTCCGTCTACCCCAAATCGTCTCGAGATGCGAGCTGATTCCCTGGCTTAGGCTCAAGACGTATGCCAACTTCCCAGAAGCACCTCAGGAGGAGGCTTCTCTCAGCAATAGGTATGTGGGAGGGACCCCGAGTTTGCTGCCTCAAGGGGAATATACAGCGAGAAGCCCTAACTTGAAAGGAGGCCGGATTTCCTTGCAGTGGCTTGAATACAGGCTCGTCTTTCATCTCACAACATGAAGGGATGTCTGAATCCCCTGTGGAGACCTTAGAGAAAGCCCTAGGTCCCTGCCTCATTTTGACGGAATGCCTCACATCCCGCTGACACCTCGAGAGGCAGGCGGAGTTCATTGCTTCAAAAGGTGACGATGCCTGACTCCTCTTGAATACTGATAGGAATCCCAAAATCCCTGTGGCTACTGGAAAGGGTCCTTGGGTGCCCTGCCTCACCTCGAGAAGCGTCCCTTTGGCCCTGCCAAGCCTCGAAGAGATTCCTGAGGTGTCCCTCGTTACTAGACAGGAGTCCTGACGTCACTGAAGAAACTCGTGTTTTGAAGGGCCATCCCCGCCGTAAGTCGAGAACATACCCCAGGTCCCCGCCGCAACTCGAGAAAAACCATGAGACTTCCCCCTAGAGGCGAGATGAGGCCCCATTCCCCTGCAGTGCATGCAGAGCTATTCCGTGATCCCATTCAAACAAGTCAGGAGCTTCGACTTGCTTAATGGATCTCGAGACAGTCCCCAAGAACACTGTCACCAGTCTAGACGGACCCTGAGGTCACCCCAGCAACGCAAAGCAGCTCCATGTGCCCCAGATCAACTCGAGATGAGGCCCGATTCCCCTGCATTGACTCCAGAGCCATTCCCCGTTCCCCATTCAACACGACCGGTGGCTCGACTTCCTTCAGGCAACTCCAGAGATGCCCCGAGAACACTGTCCCAAGTCTAGAGGAACACCAACTTCAGCACAGCAACTCGAGGAATGCTCCGTCTACCCCAAATCGTCTCGAGATGCGAGCTGATTCCCTGGCTTAGGCTCAAGACGTATGCCAACTTCCCAGAAGCACCTCAGGAGGAGGCTTCTCTCAGCAATAGGTATGTGCGAGGGACCCCGAGTTTGCTGCCTCAAGGGGAATATACAGCGAGAAGCCCTAACTTGAAAGGAGGCCGGATTTCCTTGCAGTGGCTTGAATACAGGCTCGTCTTTCATCTCACAACATGAAGGGATGTCTGAATCCCCTGTGGAGACCTTAGAGAAAGCCCTAGGTCCCTGCCTCATTTTGACGGAATGCCTCACATCCCGCTGACACCTCGAGAGGCACGCGGAGTTCATTGCTTCAAAAGGTGACGATGCCTGACTCCTCTTGAATACTGATAGGAATCCCAAAATCCCTGTGGCTACTGGAAAGGGTCCTTGGGTGCCCTGCCTCACCTCGAGAAGCGTCCCTTTGGCCCTGCCAAGCCTCGAAGAGATTCCTGAGGTGTCCCTCGTTACTAGACAGGAGTCCTGATGTCACTGAAGAAACTCGTGTTTTGAAGGGCCATCCCCGCCGTAAGTCGAGAACATAGCCCAGGTCCCCGCCGCAACTCGAGAAAAACCATGAGACTTCCCCCTAGAGGCGAGATGAGGCCCCATTCCCCTGCAGTGCATGCAGAGCTATTCCGTGATCCCATTCAAACAAGTCAGGAGCTTCGACTTGCTTAATGGATCTCGAGACAGTCCCCAAGAACACTGTCACCAGTCTAGACGGACCCTGAGGTCACCCCAGCAACGCAAAGCAGCTCCATGTGCCCCAAATCAACTCGAGATGAGGCCCGATTCCCCTGCATTGACTCCAGAGCCATTCCCCGTTCCCCATTCAACACGACCGGTGGCTCGACTTCCTTCAGGCAACTCCAGAGATGCCCCGAGAACACTGTCCCAAGTCTAGAAGAACACCAACTTCAGCACAGCAACTCGAGGAATGCTCCGTCTACCCCAAATCGTCTCGAGATGCGAGCTGATTCCCTGGCTTAGGCTCAAGACGTATGCCAACTTCCCAGAAGCACCTCAGGAGGAGGCTTCTCTCAGCAATAGGTATGTGCGAGGGACCCCGAGTTTGCTGCCTCAAGGGGAATATACAGCGAGAAGCCCTAACTTGAAAGGAGGCCGGATTTCCTTGCAGTGGCTTGAATACAGGCTCGTCTTTCATCTCACAACATGAAGGGATGTCTGAATCCCCTGTGGAGACCTTAGAGAAAGCCCTAGGTCCCTGCCTCATTTTGACGGAATGCCTCACATCCCGCTGACACCTCGAGAGGCAGGCGGAGTTCATTGCTTCAAAAGGTGACGATGCCTGACTCCTCTTGAATACTGATAGGAATCCCAAAATCCCTGTGGCTACTGGAAAGGGTCCTTGGGTGCCCTGCCTCACCTCGAGAAGCGTCCCTTTGGCCCTGCCAAGCCTCGAAGAGATTCCTGAGGTGTCCCTCGTTACTAGACAGGAGTCCTGACGTCACTGAAGAAACTCGTGTTTTGAAGGGCCATCCCCGCCGTAAGTCGAGAACATAGCCCAGGTCCCCGCCGCAACTCGAGAAAAACCATGAGACTTCCCCCTAGAGGCGAGATGAGGCCCCATTCCCCTGCAGTGCATGCAGAGCTATTCCGTGATCCCATTCAAACAAGTCAGGAGCTTCGACTTGCTTAATGGATCTCGAGACAGTCCCCAAGAACACTGTCACCAGTCTAGACGGACCCTGAGGTCACCCCAGCAACGCAAAGCAGCTCCATGTGCCCCAGATCAACTCGAGATGAGGCCCGATTCCCCTGCATTGACTCCAGAGCCATTCCCCGTTCCCCATTCAACACGACCGGTGGCTCGACTTCCTTCAGGCAACTCCAGAGATGCCCCGAGAACACTGTCCCAAGTCTAGAGGAACACCAACTTCAGCACAGCAACTCGAGGAATGCTCCGTCTACCCCAAATCGTCTCGAGATGCGAGCTGATTCCCTGGCTTAGGCTCAAGACGTATGCCAACTTCCCAGAAGCACCTCAGGAGGAGGCTTCTCTCAGCAATAGGTATGTGGGAGGGACCCCGAGTTTGCTGCCTCAAGGGGAATATACAGCGAGAAGCCCTAACTTGAAAGGAGGCCGGATTTCCTTGCAGTGGCTTGAATACAGGCTCGTCTTTCATCTCACAACATGAAGGGATGTCTGAATCCCCTGTGGAGACCTTAGAGAAAGCCCTAGGTCCCTGCCTCATTTTGACGGAATGCCTCACATCCCGCTGACACCTCGAGAGGCAGGCGGAGTTCATTGCTTCAAAAGGTGACGATGCCTGACTCCTCTTGAATACTGATAGGAATCCCAAAATCCCTGTGGCTACTGGAAAGGGTCCTTGGGTGCCCTGCCTCACCTCGAGAAGCGTCCCTTTGGCCCTGCCAAGCCTCGAAGAGATTCCTGAGGTGTCCCTCGTTACTAGACAGGAGTCCTGACGTCACTGAAGAAACTCGTGTTTTGAAGGGCCATCCCCGCCGTAAGTCGAGAACATACCCCAGGTCCCCGCCGCAACTCGAGAAAAACCATGAGACTTCCCCCTAGAGGCGAGATGAGGCCCCATTCCCCTGCAGTGCATGCAGAGCTATTCCGTGATCCCATTCAAACAAGTCAGGAGCTTCGACTTGCTTAATGGATCTCGAGACAGTCCCCAAGAACACTGTCACCAGTCTAGACGGACCCTGAGGTCACCCCAGCAACGCAAAGCAGCTCCATGTGCCCCAGATCAACTCGAGATGAGGCCCGATTCCCCTGCATTGACTCCAGAGCCATTCCCCGTTCCCCATTCAACACGACCGGTGGCTCGACTTCCTTCAGGCAACTCCAGAGATGCCCCGAGAACACTGTCCCAAGTCTAGAGGAACACCAACTTCAGCACAGCAACTCGAGGAATGCTCCGTCTACCCCAAATCGTCTCGAGATGCGAGCTGATTCCCTGGCTTAGGCTCAAGACGTATGCCAACTTCCCAGAAGCACCTCAGGAGGAGGCTTCTCTCAGCAATAGGTATGTGCGAGGGACCCCGAGTTTGCTGCCTCAAGGGGAATATACAGCGAGAAGCCCTAACTTGAAAGGAGGCCGGATTTCCTTGCAGTGGCTTGAATACAGGCTCGTCTTTCATCTCACAACATGAAGGGATGTCTGAATCCCCTGTGGAGACCTTAGAGAAAGCCCTAGGTCCCTGCCTCATTTTGACGGAATGCCTCACATCCCGCTGACACCTCGAGAGGCACGCGGAGTTCATTGCTTCAAAAGGTGACGATGCCTGACTCCTCTTGAATACTGATAGGAATCCCAAAATCCCTGTGGCTACTGGAAAGGGTCCTTGGGTGCCCTGCCTCACCTCGAGAAGCGTCCCTTTGGCCCTGCCAAGCCTCGAAGAGATTCCTGAGGTGTCCCTCGTTACTAGACAGGAGTCCTGATGTCACTGAAGAAACTCGTGTTTTGAAGGGCCATCCCCGCCGTAAGTCGAGAACATAGCCCAGGTCCCTGCCGCAACTCGAGAAAAACCA